GATCTATTTCTTAAATTGTTTTGTCTATTAAGATTATTTATTAATCAGAACTTAACACTTCTGATTAATAAATAATCTTAATGTAGTGTCTATGCTTTTAATAATCTATACATATAATTTACTATCATTTTAATACTCTTTTTCGATGAATTAGATACTTCTTTTTATTTTTAGAAAAATTTGCTGTATACATTTATCAATTATGAATTAAATTTTTTTTTATTAGTATTGACTTGACACGAAAAGAAATGTCATCTACTCGTGGTCGAAAAATTCGTTGCCTTCTCAAACAACGTCTTTCGGCTCTTTCTAACTCTTCGATAGCGATAAGAATTGCGTATCCGTCAGCCATTTTTACTTTTGTGTAGCGATCTCACATGCTTGACTCAACGTGAGTAGCAACTCACATGGTGAGATGGGAAAGCACGTGAGTTAGAACTCGAGACTACCAATTAGACGTCAGTGTGTGAGATGGTACCACGTGACACCTTCAACACGTTGGGAGTTGTAACACGAAAAACTCGAGACTAAGGCCCCAGGGTGTGGCCAAGTTATCCGGAGTGCCGGGTTATCAAGTGCCGAGTTTTCGAGGCTCTACTGTATAAGGAAAAAATGTAGTCTTTCAGGCATTAAATATATTTATTTGATGAATACAAAATTCATTCAATTCATCAAATAAATATATTTATTAATGAAATAAATATATTTTATAATAAAAAAAAATACTGAATAAATTTTGTATATTCTTTCTTTGCTTGAGGATGACATTTTGAAATATCTAAAGTACCTGTGTGTATTTTATCCATCAAGTAAATAAATTTAATGCCAAAAGATGATATACTTTTTTCTTGTATGCCAAGTGTATAGACAAATGGACAGATTGACATCTTTTTTCTTCTAGTAATAGTGTTGCTGGAAGTCCTTTATTTTATAATTTGTTTACAGAAGAGAATAATGAAAACAATGGATGACATAAAGATAAAATTTTTATTTTGATGATTGCCAGATTAAATTTATTTGTTTAGATGTTTTTAGTTTGAATAAGATGTCATTCACATTTATAATTTAACAAATTCTCAATAATCCTGAAGTTTATCAAATTTTTTGATGGTTAATGCAAATTATCTGCAAACATTTTTGAAGTTTCTGGAAAAAGGGAGTTTTGGAATACATATTTAATGCTTTATTACAAACATAAAGCATAGCCAAAACTAAATAACTAACAATCTAAAGTCAGATTATTCATTAGCTATAACTGTGCTAAATATTTTGCACAGTTACAGCTAATGAATAATCTAGCTTCAGATCTGTGGCTGTTTGTAAGTATTATCATATTTGCAGTTTGGTTAGACGAAACTTAGTGATCAAAAATAATTAATATATGGAGACAGTTATTTAGAGCAAATAGCTTATATAGGAGCAGTTATTTTTAAATGTGTTTATTATTTTCATACATTAGATTTCCTGTTGGTAACTGTTATAGTATTTGTTGTGTGTGTGATGATAATACTGAGATTAAATTTTGACATCATATTAAACAATTAATAAAATAGTGCCATCAATTTATAATCATCAATGTTTTGAAAACTATAATGAAGATAGAAATAATCACTATAATTTCAAAAATATTTTTAAAGTTAAACTCTGACTTTTAATTATTCTATCTCAATTTTTTCTGTATTTAAATTGATACACAATTATTTTCTTGGTAGATTTATGTTCCAGGACTCATTCTGTTATCTCTGCTTTAAGTTTTTCTGACAATTCCTTTTAAAGTAAGATTTTCATAACAAATGGAGAAGAGTTTTTTTTCTGTTAAGTTAAATCTTTATTTCTATCTAATGCCTAATTATAAATTTTAATTTTTAGAATGATTACATACTGTTTAAAATTGGTTAAACTTTGTTTCTAATCTAAAATATCATAAATCATTCCTAAACGAATTCATGATGCTCAACTAAAATCTTCTCACTTGAATTGACTCAACTGATGAAGACCGAGAGTACAGTCGAAAACGTTTGTTTATTATTAAATTGATTACTACTGGACGTTTAAAGGTTTTGGAGTTTTAATTTCATGATGCTCATTCATTCATACTAATTATTGAGTGATATATAAAGAAATACATTGAATAACAAAAAATATTGTGCTGAATGAATGCATAACTTACCATTTTAAAAATATCATGTTTTCCTAATTTAATAAAACTTTAATTCTGTGATCATTACATTATTGTTTTATAAAGAATAATTACACAATAAGTTGCATTAAGTAAACATGTAATAGGAATGGATACCATATAATGCTATTTTATAATACTTATAAAGAAATTCTTTTCTTTTGTTTATCAAATATCATTTGAATTGGCCTTTGTTGAATTGATGACTTAATTTTGCCTAAAATTAAGCATTTTATTAAAAAAAATAACTTTAATACCTGAATCTAAAGTAATGAATATAATACTAATAACTACTATGAGATTATTATTATTATATTCCTATAAATTTATATTTATAATCTATTTTTAATGTAAAAACTTTAAATACAGTCATTTTTATTTTAAGAATTGTTTTCTTTTCCATTTAACATTCCAAAAACATTATACATTCATAATCAAGAGTTTTTTTTATAAATTTAACATAATTAAATATGAATAATTCAGGAAAAAAATGACATTTTAAATGTCCTGTCCCACTCTTCAAGGTCTATTCTATTCTTTAGTTTATAATTTCTCTTCCTCTGTTATTGCATTAATTATTAAGTTTCCATCACATTTTTTTGCTAGATCCTTTCATTGGATATATTATTATTATTCTATTTTTAACATGTTGGAAATTAAAATGAATATTTAGATATTATACTTTATAAATCAAATTTTTGGGCTATTAGCACAAGATGATGGTTCAACCTGTAGGCTTACCTACCTGTAGTCTAAATTTCAGTGTAATCAATTAAATTAAAAGTTTAGTTTGAAAATCTAATTTGCAGATATTTAGATATTAGAAAATCAGGCTTAGTTATTAGAGAGGTTGTGGCCAAAGTTTTCATCTCTAAAACATGAACGTTGAGCGCTGCCATCTTGTAAGCCTAGAAGTTTGACAATGGCATTTGGAACATCAAGCATGATTCCAATGACGTTCCAAATGCCATTGTCAAATTTCTAGGCTTACAAGATGGCGGCGCTCAACGTTTGACGTTCATGTTTTAGAGATGAAAACTTCGGCCGCAACCTCTCTATTGCTTAAATACAATACTATTTATTTTTAATTTCTTAAAAGACAGTTTTGATTAATTATGATTTATTAGTACTGGCATTAAATTTAATTTTAATGGGATTAGAATAAAATTACCAATTATCATTTGTTTCATTTTTTTAACTGTTAATGTATAATGTCATAAATTTAATTGATTCAATACTTATTATCATCATTTATGTATAACAAAGACATAACTATGCAGAATAAAGAGTAATGATGTAATCATTTATTTGCAGCTAAATTGTGATATGTTAAATTTCAATAATTAAATTATGTCAAGAAGTTGTGTGTGGTTTATAATGTTAATATTCTCAAAGACTTTAAGACTGAATTGAAGATCAGTAAGTTTCAAATAAATTACACCAAGCATGAAAGCTCTCTGCTGTTAGTTTTAAAAATTTTAAAGAAATTGTAATGATTATGTTTTGTAAAATTAAATAAAGTGATATGTCAAATGTATTATTTCTTCAATTTACATACTATAAAGTTGTTTTTCGTTGGTTTATATTTATTAATACAGTGGTACAGTAAGTAAATTAATTGTATTTCAATTACTTCAGAGTTTGAATGGAAAATTTGACAAAAACTTGCCTTGGAGTTTGTATGATACTTTGGCATTCATACTGTGCATGCAGTGAAAAAATATGCTGAAAGCATAAATGCAATCTATTACTTGTCCAAGTCATCCCTTACATTCACTCTTGTTATGCTTGTATGTTTTCAGTGCTTTTTTGTTTTTTACTTTATTTTTGATGTGTTTGGTTTTATAAATACTATATTGTGTGTTACTTGTCGATTTTTAACAATTTCTTCTTGCAATTTTTCTTTGTGAACATTTTTGGGCTTCCCATACATTTTGTATCCTTTAATTTGAAATTTCCTGAATGGAACTTTTTAAAACCCATTTGACATGCTCAAAGTTTAAGGGCATCATTCCCATACATATTACAATTGTTTTTACTATTTGTATGGCATTATATCCTATTCAAAAGTCATAAAACATACTATACCTGATACACTTTTTATCTAAAATCATTACAACTTGATTTTATTCAAATAAAATGTGAAGTAGAGTTTAAAGTAAGACTAAACAAAGGATAAAAATCACACATCTATGTTAAGATGAGGAAGTTCAGGTCTGCAACCTATAAAGGCAGTTTTCATTTTATTATACAGTATTTACATATTTTATTTATAGTTTCCATGTTTTAATTTATTATTAAGACATTTAATTTTGTTATTTTCACCTTAAATTATGTGTATTTGCTGTTTTAAGTTTATCGAAATGGGTATTTTTAGGAAAAATTTATTTGGATTTCCTGGAATGAATTAAGTTTGAAATATGAGGCACCACTGTATATATAAACAAAATTAAATATCACATGAAAATTAATTCTTATTTAAAGTAATTATCTTGTATTTTTTAAAATTCTGTACAAAATTGAAATTTAAATATTATAGGATGTAATATTTAATTTGATTTAATAATTAACATAAAATAATTTTTTAGTGAGGCATCAATTGGATAATTGGAATAAAATCAAAAACCTTTGCAGTAAAGAGATAGGGAACAAAATGAAGGTAAGAATTAATTCTACAATATTTTTTTAAAAATTAAATTAAATTTTAACCTTTTTATTTCAAAAACAAATTTCATTATTTGTATAGAAAAAAGAACCAATTGGAAATGATGATGCTTTGTCTAATAATATTTTGGAACAGTTAAATGATCTTTCATTAGATACTCTACAGGTAATAATAATTACATGTAATATTTTAAGTTTAACATAACAACATATTTAAAAATTTTTCTATTGCTAAGTAATATATTTTTAATTATAGATTAATTATTTTTTTCATAAGAAATATGTTGCCTTAAAGAAATTATTTAATTGACTTAGTGCTTCTGGATTGATTTACAATCCATAATAGAAGTACTGTACATACCAAAAGAAGCTGGCATGCATAAGTGCAAGCTCTTATGCATGCCAGCTTTTTTTGACTTATAAGAACAATTGAAATAAAAAATATCTACCTCTCTTGACTGGAGAACGTTGCATAATTATTCTTGTTATTACCGATATAAATTGTATTAATAAATAACAAAATTAGTCTTTTTGTAGTAGTAGATAATCAAAAAAAACAATTCTAATTTTTGATTAAAATAAAAAATATTATTTTACCATGTTTTAGTTTAATTGTTTTTATTTAAAAATTTGTATTGTTCTTGATTCAAACATTGTATTCTGTTCTGCTTGATTTGAATCTGAAGATTGTGCTAAAAATCTAAAAAAGATTTAATTTTAATAAATAATTAGACTCTAAAACTGAATAAATATTTTCTCTTGCTTTATAAGAACAGAAAATATGAGACTGACAATTTTTGGGTTTTTTATATAATAAAATAACGTTATTTTAATGTTTTTACAATAAATTATAACATATGCCATATTTTTATAGTTTTAAATTAATTAATTTATAAATTTTACACTTTTTCAATTACTATTTCATATTTAATTAATATGAAATTATGACTTTTTAATAATAAAAAGAAGAATTAAATAAATTTTATTTTGTATTTGAAAGGCATTAACTGTAGTGCAAATTAAAAAACTTCGTTCTCTGATGGACCAAGAAATAATTAAATGCAATGAAGAGCTGACTAAATTTGAAAATGAACGAAATGAAGCATTAAAAGAAGTTGCTAATTGGCTACACGATTCAGTTCCTGTTAGTGCGGATGAGGTAAGAATATATCATTCATGCTCAGAATTATTAAAGCAGAAATATCTTAAAGTATGGAAAATGAAATTTATAAAATATTTTATTGTAATGAGAAGATAAATTGAATATACTTTAAACAAGATTTTATTTAAAAAAATTATTTTGATATATGTAAGATGATTTTTGTATAATTAATGTTAGTTTATCTAAAAAATTATAACTATGCAAAAATTGTGTTAAATACATACTTATGCAGAAATAAAATCATTATAAAATGATTATAATTTGATCTTACCAAGAATAATACTGATACTAGCTTTTGGAAACTTAACCATACATAGAAAAGATATAAGACAAAGATATAATCAATAATGATTGTAAATTTTAAAAAATCACAAAATTGTAAAATATGTCTTAGATTCCAAAAGTGCTTAATAAAGAATATAATCTTTAAAACTACATCATCAGAGTACATTTAAATTTGAAGTTGAAAGAATTTAATATTATTATAATTCTTAAGCTTATAATTCAGTTTTTTGAATCAGTATTTTAGATTAACAGATCAATTTTTTTGACAACTAATTTCATTTTACTTTTCTTATTTTTGGCATTTATTTATTTCATTCATTGCATGCATATGTGTATGTATGTATGTATGTATGTATGTATATATATTAATATTGTGTGTGTGTGTTACTTTAATAAACAATATAATCTATTCATTATTTTGTTTATAATTTGCATCTCAATATTTTTAGGATGAGAATCCTGTTATACGTACTTGGGGTGATGTCACTATAAGAAGAAAATATTCTCATGTGGATCTTATTCATATGATTCATGGAATGGATGGAGAAAGAGGTTCTGTAACTTCAGGGGGAAGAGGATATTATCTATTAGTTAGTTTCCCATTTTATTATTTTTATATTTTATTTTGTTTAATATTATGAAATGCTTTAATTTTTCTTTGAAATAACTTCTAGTGCCAAATGTATCTTTATTCCTTAACACACATAATAAAGGCTTTCTACTGAAAGCAATATAGTACAGTAGAGCGTTGTTTATCTGAATCAATTGGGGACTGGGGTGGTTCGGATAACGAATCATGTACGAAAAAATATATTAATTTATCCCATGTTGAAATTTCTCTCCGTTGCGTGTCGCTTCGCGTTGAATTTTCGTTGATGTTAAGCCTAACGAAGACTATTGTATCGTTAAAAATTATTTTTTTATTTTGTACAAACAAAATAAATTTATTGAAAAATATAAAAACAATAAAAAATTATACTTCAGATGTTAATTTAGTATCAAAAACGTAAAATATTTGAGTAGCCCGAGAAATAGCCGAAGATTCCAGCGCCACAGCACTAGCGAAAATTTAAATTTGCCGACTGGAATGCTTTCGGATAACCAGCTTTTGGATAAACGATACTCTACTGTATTTACTTTTAATGAAATATCTGATGTCACTTCTGTCTTCTCCCAGTTTTTAAAGTCCTGATTATATTCCTTCAGTTTTCTACAAGAAAATCAAACATATTGCTGCTACTTTTTGTTACATCTTCTATCTTTTACTTCAGTATAGTTGTGTTCCAAAACAGTAGCATTCTTCATAGATGGCTGCAGTCCTGAAGAAGGAATCTGGTAATTATTGTCCTGTATCAGATTCAGCTACCATAATACAAATATTTCAAATTTGTCTGTATAAGCATATGTACATTATTTCTAATCTGTATTTCATTCAACGCTATGATGTTCCACACTCTTTCTTTGCAACTAATTTACTTTTTATGTAACAAGAAATAATACAGAACTTCAAAAGTAAACAATTGACATATAATATATTTAGACATAAACAAAGCTTTTGATTCAGTCATTTTAACCACTTTATTACACAAACTAAATATTGAATTCAAACATTAACAGTCCATATTTCAAATAGTTTAAAAATTACTTCTTACTTTGCAGTTATCAGATAGCTTAGGTGATTTCTGTTTTTATTCATGTTTTAATCACTTACTTTATCTTGCTGCTTGATTTTCTAGAATCTTATAACTCAGTTTTTACTCGCTTCCCAATCTTTAATTTAACTGAAACCTTGCATTCATATGTGTTCTTGATGACAATATATATTATTAGAGTTTATACAATTATTGAAAAATTAAAACGACATGTAGATAGGTGTAGATAGATGTAATTCTACTGGAAAATAGTCAGAAAATGGAAAAGATTCAACATGAAAGGATTCAACCAGAAAAGCCAAATTTTGAGAACTGGCCATTAAAATCTATAACAGAACTACCCACTTTTGACAAAAAAGTTTATAGGATAGTCTCCTATAGTTTGAACATAAAATCATGTTCAATCAACCATCACAAAAACCCTGTCTACTGGCCATATAAACCTTTTTAAGTCCTTTGACCGTCTATCATCAAAAATGTTGGGTGAAGCTACGTTCAAATATGAATCAAATTCTTTGCCAATATGAACATTAAAGTCACCCATTATTACAACTCCATCATAATACAAAGTCCAAGAAGTCAAAATAGAAGAATATAAATTGAGTCATAGGCCTTGCTGCCTTAACAAACTAACATATATTATCAGTACCAAAATACTCCTAGTATCAGAAGCCAAAAAATGTGATAACCAATCACCATTAAATCAGGATAAGTTTCCAATAACTCAAAGTGCCCTCTAGCTCAATCAAAAAAGAACAAAATTCTGTCATGAGGCCTTCCTAGTCCCAATGGCTTTTCAGCTGGAATCATAAAATACTTCCAGTTGTCTGACCAAAAAAATTTCCATCCATTGAAACCATCCAGGTCTCAACAAGGGCCAAACAAATTTAGTCTGGTCTATTAGTCATATAATTCAACAATGAATGCTTAGTACTAAACCCACAACAATTCCAAAAAAACAGAATCCAAATGACAATCTGGACTAGACTGAACTGGGCGTGAAGAAATTGGGAGTTTCACAGAGTCTTCTGTCATATGAAAAGGAAAATCAAAATAAAAAAGAAGCAGGAACTTTTATTAGTCAATGTCCCAAAAAAAAAAAAAAACATAAATCTCTTGTCATCAACACACAAAACATCATCATGCAGATAAACACGATGACCAGCCTCACAGTAATCTTTTAGATAAGTAACCAAATTTTTATGACAAATGCACAAATTAAATGATAGGTCCTGTGCTAACTTAAACTTTACTGGTCTTTCCCTACCCATTTGTTGGGTTTTCTTTCTAAATTTTTACAATAAGTTTAACATTTCCAAGACGACAACTGTATACAGTAAAATTCCTGAGTTTTGCCCCGAAAACAGGAAATACCAACGATATTTACCCTGATAGATCAACCACATCCAATTCCTTAGATAATAGGTTAACTATATATTCTTGGATGTCCAATTTGTGTGGAATACTATGGTTAAACATCATTAAATTGCTTCTTTTGGAAGCATTAACTTGTCTATCATAGGCAAAAGACTGCAACTCACTGATGTCATTCAAAGGAAATTGTTCTTGCTGTTCTAACTTATCTAGATGCAAACACGCTTTAGAAAGATCATGCTCTAGTTTTCTTACCAAGGACAAAGCTGACTGGTTAGCCAATTCCAAATTAGCAAGCTTTTCTTCAATACACTTCAGCTGCAGCACTACTTCTCCCAAAGTTGTTTCAAAATACTCTCATAAGGATGACATTTCTTCTTTGTCAGTATCTGAAGGAGAATGTCTTTTAAAATAATGTTCTAGCTTTGGATATTTAGTTCCTGGGTCGCTGGATGAGCAATGATGCTTAATTCTTTTCTGATCGTCTTGGCTCTGCTTTAACCCTCAGAGCGAGTACATGGAAACATTTCCAAGAATATCTCAGACAAAAAGTCACCAGTAATGATGGCTGCTCAACAATGCCGGCTGCTCAACAATGCCCTTCCCCATATATCCCATATATATATATATTTTTTTTTACAAAATATATATATATTTTATACATAAAATTTTATGTATATAAAAAATTTTTTGTTATAAAAAGTATTCAAATTTTAATAAAGCTTCTATGTAAGTAGAATTAAAATTTTATTTGAATTTTTCAGAATTCTGCAGTCTTTTTAGAACAAGCTCTGCTTCAGTTAGCATTAAGAATTCTTTACACTAAAGGTTACAAAGCTATTTATACACCATTTTTTATGAGGAAAGAAATTATGCAAGAAGTGGCACAATTAAGTCAGTTTGATGAAGAACTATATAAGGTAGGAAAAAAATTGTACATAATTAAATTTTTTTGAGTTAAATATCATAAAATATTGTTTTTATATTTTAATTTGGTATTTGGCATAACAGTGACACTATCACTACTTTTTATTTTATAATGGGCAATTTTTGATTTTAATTATGTAAACAAGATATTTTTGATTATCAAGATTTGAAGATGTAAATAAGATATTTTTGCTATTAAAGTTACATCATTCTTAAGGGAGATTAAATATGAAGTATTGAAATATATTATATGTACTAAACTTATCAAAACAATGTAAAAATGGAATAGTTAAATTATTATTATAAATGATAAATAACTTTATATATTTTTTTGCTTTCAATAAAAAATTTAAATATAAAATTGTATAAAATTTTATCTTAATAAATTTCAGGCATGTATTATTTTCACGAAGGAATGAAATAGATTAGGTTTTTTTTATTTTTATTAATTATTAAGATGCTAAATACATATTAAATTTTAAATATACTTTCACTACTACCAGATATATTTTATATGTTGTGGCTCATTATCAGTAGGAACAAGCCATGCTAATTTTTCAATATTTTGTATATGTGTATTTAAGTTCTTTATGTTTGCATTTCTGTTGGGTTCTTGTCTTTAAACACTTCAAAAAGAATTATTTGTTTTTGAGTTCTTTTTTAACTAATTAATAAATTCTCAGTTTATTTTCATTTAAATTTACTTAGATAATTTTTTCCAAGAGCTAAACAAACTTTATTATGTTTGTTTGCTTTTAAAACACTTTTCTTGGAGGTGCTGGATGTGACAAGAATATCACAGAAGAACAATCTTCATGAACCTGCCACAATGAAATCGTTTCCTTGAACTACTTCAGTAAACACTGTTTTTTTTTAACGTTAATATTATTTGATTTTACAGCAAAAAATATACAAAAATAACCATGTCTCTGTACTGAGACTGCAATGCAAGTCTGTTAATTAACACAAATGGGTCAAAATTATTTTTACTATGCATGCACACATATATATCTTCATGCTCATAATCCAAAAAGGATTTGCAATAGACAAAAGGAGACTATAATCCTAATCATCTATTCAGTGATTTTTGTCACACTTTCCTGTCAGGACACACTTTTTTGCTCTTGATGCCTCTTCTAGCATACTTCCATACGTTCTTTTTCTGACTCAAACCCATGTGTTTTTTCAGATACTCACCCATTGATCCAACCAATTTGTACTATGCAAGTTTGCTATTTATTTGATCAATTTCTCTGAATGCATTTTGATTGATATCCTCATTAGTGTAGTATTCTCCAGATTTAATCACAATACAATTGTATTTTAGAATCAAAAATCTAACTTTCCTTTTTCAGCATTCACCACCTGACAAAACACTCCTACCACATTATTTCAAATTGTCCTCAGTCCAGATCAAAAACTTTGTGAGGAATAATTACTTTCAAACATGTGTAAGTTTGGAATCTTAATGTCATAAACAGAATGTGCTAAAACAGTGATTCTCACAGTTATCAATCTGCAAATTGTTTAAACCAAATCACAGATGAATCATAGACCACCTTTGCTCTTGTTCATTTCTTATCCTGTAAATATCATATTAGATCAGTGATTTTTGACCAGGGTGCCAAAGCACACTAGTGTTCTCAATTACAATTCAGGAAATCCATGAAATACAGTGATGAGTATCATCATAATGCTTTATATGTGTAAACTTAAAAGTTATTGTATATTCTTAGGTCTAAATATTTAAAATTCTAAATTATTTAATACTTTTATAATCATTTTATTGAAAATATTGTAATCAATTTAAATCAATTAATACATATTATAAATAATACAAAGCATATAAAGAAGTAGGGTGCAGTAAGAAAAGAAAAATATGAAGTTGTAGTTGCTAGTATTAGAAAAAAAGTTGAAAAACGCTGCCTTAGACAAAATATTTTGGTACACAATCTATCTGGTAACTTAATGTAAAGCATGAAATGCATTACATTACAATATGCAATGCATGAAAATGTTTTCTTTTTTATTGGCTAAACTAGGGTTGGCCAACAGTTTTTGCCCTAGGCTGAATTGGAAAGAAAACTTTTTCCATGGTCCGAACCAGAGGCTGCCCTAGGAAGATTTTGAGGTGGTGCAAGATCTCATTGTGGTGTCACCCTGTAGAGACTAAATTGTAGATAGAGATTATAGATACATTTTTCACATTATCATGCTTTATCAACACTTCAAGCTGTACTGTACTTACGAGATTTGTAATGGAGGGTTAACTCTAAACGCGCAGTGAGTTGTTGATCTTTTTTCTTTTCTTCTTCTTCTTCTCTTCTTTTTTTTTTTTTTAGGCGTCAGAATTTTTCATTGAGCTATTTGGACTTGAGTAGTTAATATTGAAAGATTGATCGCAGGCCACATAAATTCATTCGACGGGCTGTATGTGGCCATGCCTGGGCTAAACAGTGCATGAATGCATTTTGGAAAGTAATTGCACCAGATGATCAGCATGCTGATCCAAGCTTGTGGTCTACAGATCATATTTTGAAAATAACCAAACTAAAAGATTTGAATTCAGTTGTGTTTGGAGGATTAACTTAAGCCTTACAGTTTTTAGAGGTTAAACAGAAAAACCTAAAAAGCATGCCATATTTCAATTTGTAGCAAGTAGTCTAGGTTTTTTTTTTTAATTTAAGCTGATGTTAGATAAATATGGATAAGTAAGTCACTTGTCATGCTCAGATGTGGGAATATCTGTAAAGATGTTTTGAAAAGAATATTTAAGACCATTACTACTTAAGAATGTGTTGAAGTAACAATTTGAGATGTACACTTCCTTAATGCAGAATATGTTAAAATAGTGTCAATCCTGATTAAAAATGAAGGAAATGATTATGCCAAATTAAATCTAAGTCAGTTTAAAATCATAAAACAAAACAAACTGAAGCTTAATATCTTATAAAAATAGCAACAGAGAGTGTAATAATTTATCTTTAAATCTTTATATAAATTTTAAAATGTATATACTTTTAGCATCTATTAATAAAATTCTTAATTAAAAAATGTTGTGTTTTGAATTTTTTATTAGAAACTATTTTACATAATAGGTTATTGGGAAAGGAAGTGAAAAAACAGGTGAAGGAAATACTGTTGAAGAGAAATATCTTATAGCAACTTCTGAACAACCAATTGCTGCATTTCATAGAGATGAATGGATACCTACTGAAGCACTTCCCATTTGTTATGCTGGAGTGTCAACTTGTTTTCGTCAGGAAGTTGGATCTCATGGACGTGATACCAGAGGAATTTTTAGAGTGCATCAATTTGAAAAGGTAAAAAAAATTAATAATTTCTCAATTTAAAGTAATTAACAATTTTGAAATTTTTAAAATTTGTTGTTATAAATTTCAAATTTATTTGTAATAGTTATATATAATAACTTTATTATTAAAATTAAGTTTAAATATATAAATTCCATATTTAGGGATTAAACATTGAAATTGTCTAAAATATAGATATAAAGAAACAAAATTATGTCCACCTCTATTTGCTTTATATAAGATTAATAACTGAATAAAAAGTAAATAAATTAAATAATAAATATATGTACTACATTTATATATGAAGAGCTAACATTTAAAACATATTTTGTCATAATTATTGAAAATTTCAGACACAAATATCTGTTTATAAGGTTTTTCTAAAAGATGATGATAGAATTTTTTTAATCATGTTATCCTTTCTTTGTTTAAAACTTTAATAATAATTCAGAAATATTAAGATTGGAAAACTTTTTAAAAAGTAATTCATGTTGGACAAAACACGTTTTGAAAGAATCTGGAGTATAAATTACATTTTTAATGAACAGATAATTGGACAAAACATTGTTTATACAGAAAAAAGTACAAAAGGCTTTTTTGTGGTTTATCATTACAGCATCCAGTTTTTAACAATTACAAAGATATACGTAGAAAAAAATCTGCTTTTGCAAATGTTTAGATGTGTAAGTAGCATGCTTTTTGTTCATATAATCACAATAAATTTCAGGTTCTTCAGTCACATTGTCAGGAATTTCTGTAAAATGTACAGTACATTTTTGTGCCACAAATCAATCATCTATTTCTTCCATTTCTTACTTTTCTTGAAACTTGTGGCTTCCTACTTTCCACATTTTCTTTTATCTTTACTGTTCCAATCTCATCTTTCATTTTCTGTTCAAGAATACTGTCACTTAACTATTTCACTCAACATGAACACAAAGTTGTCACAAAGGCACAATAAATTCAACACTTACATGGGCACAGACTGATTATGCACTATATTAAAGCTGCTCTGATTGTCTGAATTGGACAAAACATACTATGAACAAATGTGAGGAATAGACAAATCAGTATTTAATTGAATCCTTAATTTTGTCTGTCTATTTTTAATAATAGAGAATGTGTTTTAAATAAAAATATATGTTTTATATGATATAAATTGCAAATTTGTTGACTGTACAGTAGTTTGATTTTTTTTGTGACAAGACATGTTTTGTCTACTCTAGATATAAATTATCTTTTGTGTCATAAACAAATGGAGATGCTTATATACTGAGAGATCAAACAAAAAGTTCACTTACAAGGAAAAGATTTGGTGGCATAGCATTGTTTGTTATCAGGGCTGCGGAGTCGGAGTCGGAGGAATTTTTGGTAAGAGGAGTCAGAGTCAGAAAAAATGTGTAGACTCCGACTCTGGTCCCACATTTTAAATTTACTTTAGTTTTTTTATTTAAATGAAAGAAAATTTATTATATATTTATTAATTTTTTAAAATCTTTTTGTATTTTGTTATAATTCATTTATTTTAAATACAAAATGCATCAATTTAATTTATTAAATATTTAGTATTCTTTTACTTTTTGTGTTTAGTAGTTAAATTATTTTGACCCAATTGAATTTGAATATTTTTGAATCATTCCTTTATTATCCCTGCTCTAAATATGTACTCTATTTTTCTGAATGAGTTAGACTAATTGATCAGAGTACATATTTTTCTCTTCTGAACAAGGGGCTGAAGTAGCTAGCTAGATCGCACACTTTTTACTTGGACTAACTTCTGGAAGAGTGAAATTGAAGTGCAAATGCTGTCAAATATATGTAGATGTAGAATTTTATCACACCTTCTCCTCTTATTAAATATTTGTTAAAAATTTTTTTATACAAATAAATATTAATGTAAGTTAAATATTAAATATTAAAAATACTAAGTATAATGTGAGATAGCCAAGGACGTAGATCTTAGTCTATGCCGCTTACGGGCAAGCGATCTTGAGATCGGTTCTCTTACTTTTATAGGAGAGCGGTAAATATGCAAAACCGATCTAGACTGCTAAGTCCAGATCTATGTCAGGATTCCTAGACACCAGTTTATCAGTTGTTTTACACGCGGATAAACACGCATGGGGCAATCCTATTCCGATAATAATTGAGAAACATTTCTTTATAAAATAAACAAGAATAAATTTAATAAACCATAAACAATTAAAACTAATACAAAATATTATATAAATGAGAGATAATAAATGAGAATTTCAATCTATAAGTCAAGAGAGATACGGACTTATACTATAACCGATATGAGGTCGAGAGAGAGAGCTCACAAAATCATTTAAGAACATACAACCTGATTGTTTGTATGTTTAAACTTCGGCTCTGTATATGAAGTATTTGTTCACTTCTAGAATTCTCTGTCTTCTTTCCTCTGGAGAGATCAACTTAACTTGTTACATTTATATCTTTAGACTTAATCCTTCGTATATTGTATGGCTCATAGCATAGGCGTTGGCCTTTAGGAGCAATATGAATGGAGTCCTGACTCTTCTATCTCTGTTGATGAACTCCCCGAATTCTGATAAATTTCCGCTATATCTGCTGATTTTCGACCAATCATCAGACAGAGACTCTTTCACGGATAAAAGGGGAATAAATGAGGGGTGAACATTTCCCATCAAAGCGAGAGTTTTCGCAGATAAGGGAAAAACAGAGGATGTTCTAACTTCCCTAGAAGGAAGTAGCATCTGTTATCTATCTTTCCCACGTTGGAAAATCGTTAATTTCACCAAAACGAAATAATATTTTATGATAATATTTAACATCATAAAATAATTATTAATTGTAGACTCAGGACTATTCAGATCTCACAATAAAAGTATTTGGGTAAATGCCTCAGGCTCCTTTCAGAGTTCAGAGGAGGGTACCTCCTGTGAGCACCTCTGCCCCCATAAAATGACTTTGTATTTAATTTTGCCGGAGTCGGGAGTCAGAGTAGGCCTACTAAAATTATCAGGTATCAGAGTCAAGTATTTTTTTACTGACTCTGCAGCCCTGCTTGTTACTCAGCTTTTAAGATTTATGTACTAAAAATCTTAGAGATGGAAATTCCACCAAGAAGTTTTAAATGTTATCTTGAGAGTCTGTAGTAAATAAATGCTCAAATGTAAACTTTTTGTTTGATTACACTTTATTTATCAACTTAAATATTTTTAATGAAGAATTATCATATAAAAAGTAATATACAGTAGAGCCTCGATTATCCGACCCAATTGGGGACTGGGGATGGTCGGATAATTGAAAAGTCGGATAACTGAAAAGTATGAAAAAATTCATTATTAGTGTAGTATATTATTATATCCCATGTAATTAGTATATTGCTATTAACCTACTTCGCTTTGAATTTTCATCGATGTTAAGCCTAACGAAAATTTTTTAAAATAATAATCGTNATTGAAAAGTCGGATAACTGAAAAGTATGAAAAAATTCATTATTAGTGTAGTATATTATTATATCCCATGTAATTAGTATATTGCTATTAACCTACTTCGCTTTGAATTTTCATCGATGTTAAGCCTAACGAAAATTTTTTAAAATAATAATCGTCGCTATTATATCATTAAAAATTAGAAAATTAAGCCTTGTTTAAATACTGGCTCCCTTTCATGGTGGAATGAGTGTTGCCAGCTAAAACACTTAAAAATAATAATAAAGTAGCCAAGACATAGCCAAATATTGTAGCGCCGCATCACTAGCACACATTTGAAATTTGCCGACTAGGACGGTCAGTTAATCGAGGTGTCGGTTAATCGGGGGTCGGATAATCGAGGCTCTACTGTACATTTTAAAATCGTTATAAATCTTATGTATTAAGTAAATTTATTTTTAGAAAGGAATGGTAAATTATTTTTTTGTCTTTATTGTATTTGTTAAATGCATTAGAAATTTTTTAAGTAAAAATACAGTTGTATGTATAAAGTATAATAAAGATTCTATAATAAAGAATTTTTTATTTCTAGATGCTATCTTATTAGTTTTATTTTATTTTCATTATGCTTAATAATAAAATAATTTAATCTGAATATATAAAAATTTTAAACTTTTTGAATTAATATGTGCATTAAATTTTTCCAATATTATGAGTTTATGATTACTTTTTCATAACATTAAAAAGTAGAGAACCAATTCTTTTTCATATAAATACAGTGGTACCTTAGGATACGAAATTAATCCATTATGAAACTGAGATCGTATCATGAAAATGTCGTAAGGTGAATCATTTTTTCCCATACGATTACATGTAAAACAAATAATTCGTTCCAACACAAAAAACACACTCAAATTAAAGCTAAGTAGTACATTGAAAAAAAATAATTTTAGTAAGGAAAACACTGAAAAATGCATTTTGTAGTTGTAAATGTATAAATAACCATAATAGAATAGTAATTGATAAAAAAAAAAAATGTACAGTAGAACATCGATTATCCGACTCAATTGGGGACTCAGGTTGGTCGGATAACCGAAAAGAATGAAAAAATACATTATTAGTATAGTATATTAGTATATCCCATGTAATTAGTATATTGCTATTAACCAACTTCGCGTTGAATTTTCATCGATGTTAAGCCTAACAAATTCTTTAAAAAAATAATAATCGTTGCTATTGTATCATTAAAAATTATTTTAAAATTATTTTATTGCTCACAAAACAAACGAGACTTAATTAGAAAATTAAGTCTCGTTTAAATACTGGCCTCCCTTCAATGGTCAAGCCAGTATTGCCAGCTAAAACACGCAAGAATTTAACAAAAATAATATTAAAGTTGCCAAGACAGCCAAATATTGTAGTGCCACATCACTAGCGGACATTTGAAATTTACCGACTAGAACAGTCGGTTAACTGATGTGACGGTTAATCGGGGGTCAGATAATTGATGCTCTACTGTAGTTTTATTTGTATTTTACCTTTGAGGATAGACGACAGTGAAGGTGTAAACTGGTGGCAGAAGAGAGGGAGAAGGGAAATGATACTAAAACTTAACTTACATAACATAATGTAACAATAACTTAAAAATAATTTTGTAACTTTTCTGTTTTATGTATATATTTTTTTAATTTTTTATTCACTGCTTTTTGCTGTCTTTTCTTCACTTCCACCAGCACTTTCACTGGATAGAGGTCGCTTAGTAAAATATCTATCCAAAGAGGTTTGGCTTTGCCTACTTTTTAAAATGTTTCTAAAATGACTTAGGCAAATGTCATTACTCTGAGCAGCAATACAGCCAGTGTGAACCTTTTCGGGATGTTTCTTTTCAATAAAATCAGTCACTTTCTGATAATACCTCAAGATTTCCTTTATAGAGCAAGATCATTCCATGACGAAGCAAACATGCAGACTGAGACCAATGAACAGAAGTGAATAAAAAATGGCACTGTGAACTAATGTAACATCGTATGGTGAGGTTTTGTTCGTATCATGGAACAAAATTATTTTCAAATTTCATGTCATATCCTGAAAATTTCATATGCTGGGGCATTCGTAACCTGAGGTACCACTGTACTAATAAAGAAATTTTGTCAATAATAGGCTGCTGTTGTTGTTAATAAATTCTATCCAATTGGTCAGAACAGATGTATATTAAATATATGAATTTATATAATTATATTTTTGAATGGTGATAAAATATGTTTTTTGTTTTTTTGCTTCTTTATGCATGCATTTTTTTATCATGTGCATTGTGAATTTGGTCAGGCCAGTGGGATGGTAAGAGGTGTAACAACTGCTTCTCCTATAATCATCTCCAATCCCAGTGTTCCTCTAAAAAAAGTGTGCCCCGAATGTGCAGGCACCCACATTCCTCTTTGGAATGTACCACCAAGACTTCAAATGTGTCAATTGCATCAAGTACAGTTATACCCCGAACTTACGCGATAGGTGGGACCAAGCAATAACCGTGTAAGTCAAATTCGCGTAAGTCGGGGTATAATTTCGCAATTTGTGTAAAATCCAAGTCGGATGTATGTAAGCTAATAAATGTTCTTGTTAATCTTATCTCGTCTTTTGATTCGTTTTCGGTTACAAGAAATCACCACATAGAGTCTCTCAAGTCCCCGTAGATACAACAAACACAGAAATAAATAACACAAAATAAATTGTAGCTATGTGTTGATTCCACGTGACACGTCTGAACATGTAAGCTGAACAATAGTGTGTGGGGAATGAGTAATCAAGAGTTGCGTGGCGCTCAAACAAAAGACGAATCGACGAGATTTGAAAATCACATAACTCCGGGTTCACGTAAGTTGAGGTATTACTGTATAATGCTTCCAGAAAGCTCACTTCAGAGTACGTGGATGTCGACCATGGCGCCAGGGACCGTTGTTGTTCCTTATACAAATATCGCCATGACATCAGTAGGCCAAACACTCGCCAATAGTTTAGATTAATAATCAGTGTAAGTATATAAAGTAAACAAACTTTAAAATGGCTATAAAAATTATACAGATCAATCTAGACAGGTCGTCCACTACCACAGATCACTTAATCGAACATATGTCTCAGATTCTGGCATTGATATCACCTTAATCCAACAACCCTACTCATCCTTATGAATTGCAACACGCAAGAACGGATTAAGAGACTTGTTGGGACGATGTCGGGGGGTCAGGTTGTCAAGTTCCCACGCTTTCACAATCGTCCCGACAGTTAAATGGGATCTAGCAGATATAAAAGATTTCGTGATAAACACTAAAAACTGGGTTAGAAAGAAATTCGACAAATGTTGTCTACACACTCTCCGACTGCACACAGATACATTCTAACTGCACTGTTGCACTTGAATGCATAGTGAGGCAGCCGTCTCCAGCCAATGCAGCCGGTGGTGAGTGAATAACAGTAAGAAACAATGGCCTGGTCCTAATCTGTCAGAAACCATGGAAATGAAACGATTCGAACAACAAAGAAAGCATCACGACGCCTAGAGTTGATGCTGTCTAAAAGCCCGACCAAGCTAAGAGTGGAAATTGGAAAAAAAAAAAACAATAAAAACTTACATGAATCCTAAGTGAGTGGCAGTCTGTTCTTTCTTCCGTAGCCTATCCTCGACCAAACAGACCATTATTCCTAGCAATGATGCACGCAAACTGTCGGAAAGGCCTTGTTTTCGGCTCTTCAACAAACTCGCTTCGTTAGGAATAGAGCCTGACATATCTGAGACAGACTACCTATGATAAACTTTTGGAATTGTTTGCCTGGATATGATCCTGGGTCCCCCAGAGAGCTAGGTTAATGTCTTCACTGTCTGGTCTTTAGAATATTACTTTTAAAAAAACAGTAATTGTAAGGTAATATATCATGATTACTTGTTTCTAATATTACATTGCATTCTGATGTAGCCTATTTCCAAGAATAAAAACTGTATGGTAATGAAAGGTTAACTCGAACAATGAATAACAACATATTAATCTTTATATTTGATAATATATGTGATACATATGCCTTTATCTATTTTTACTGTATAGGTTGAACAGTTTTGTCTTACTTCACCTCATGATAACAAGTCTTGGGAAATGTTTGATGAGATGATTGGAAATGCAGAAGAATTCTGTCAACTCTTAGGAATTCCATATCGAATTGTAAATATTGTATCTGGTAAGTTCAAAATTTCAAATAATTTATCAATTTTATTTCAATATGAGGCATGTACAAATATAAATATCCATTAATTAATGTGAGGCATGCCCAGAAAGTAAGAATTGGTTGGGTATAAAAAAACTTTGTTAAAAATTTTTAAAATTAAGTGTATTGTAAAATGTTGTTCATGTATGTATGTATGTATGCATTACGTTACTTTTCTGTATAATTGCCACATAAATTCAAACACTTGTCACATTGTGGCACATGTTTTATAATCCGTTGTTGTAGAAGTTCATTGCCAAGTCTTTCAGTCAGTCTGCACAATGTCTTTTGTCTCTTGAGTGCTCTCTAGATTCTAGTAATGATAATCATTTGGAGCAAGGTTAAACTGTTTATTGCAAAAATATTGCAAAGTTTTATATACATATACCCAATCTAATTCTTACTTTCTGGTCATATTTCATATAATATTGCAATAAAGTTCATTTTTCAGATAAATATTTAGGTAAAGTTATGTATGATTTATAGAAATTTAAAGATAAATAATAAAATAAATAAATATCTTTTGAAAGTGTATTTGATTGTATATGAGCTTAAAATACAATATCAAGAACAAAAATCCTTCAGTGTTTTAAACAAATTTATAGAATATGTAATAGTTTGAATGTTTTCTCAGTTTATTTTCATTTNGGAGGATGATGAAGTTGTTCCACTTCATCATCATTCTCCATACTCACCAGACCTAGCCCCCACTGACTACCTCTTCTTCCGCAATTTGGACAACTTTTTAATAGGAAATAATTTAATTCTGACAATGCTGTAAAACTGGCCGTCTAGGAATTCATTGACAATTATGATGGCATTTACATTTATATTGTATAATTTAATGATTGTTGGGACTTTTTTCCACTGTCCACAAAAAGTTTATTTTATAATTATAGATTCTAAAAAATAATTTCCATACAATCCAGTTGTTATGATATTTAATTAACTTTATTAATTGTAGCCCTGTGTAAGATGCTGTTTTCTTGTAAATATTTGTTTTATCTTACATGAGATAGTGACATATTAGGTGAATCAAATGAAAGGAAGACATACCTGGTTTTTTCAGAAACAATGTCCTTTATTGAAAAGTAGTCTCCACCAGAATTAAGAAACTTATCCCATTGCTATTAATACCATCCAAGTAGCATGATTGTGACTGCAGGTTAGAGTGTCCCTTAGCACCATCATCTGAATGAAATTCTATCCCTTTAATCACTTGACATAAATGAGACTCATCTAAACTGTTCCTCCTTCCCTGAAACTGTTTGTTTTATACTTCATTATTACTAGTAATGTTCAGTGTTCACCAATAAACAATTCTCATTACTTTTTCCACTGTTAAAAATTTCACAATCTATTATTGTTTAACTTGTAAGCATATATTATACTAAGTATGTTAAGTTTTGCTCAAACTCCAGAACATGTATGTTTTCAGCAAAAAGTAAATACTGTATACTGAACTACATGCATATTAGGCACTACATACACTGCTAAATTGATCAGACCATTCTACATCATGGAATGTGGTTCACTTTCAATTGAATCTCCTAATTTATGATGATTCAATTTTGAAAATTAATTTAATAACATCAGATATATTCTTATCTGGTTGAAATGAAATTTAAAAAATGGCAATTAAATGTAATTTGTTTAAATTTAATAAATTTTTAACAAATACTTATAATTTCATAAACTGGAATTAAACAATCTTTTAATTGAATCTTAAGGTGTATGAATTACTGAGAAATGAGAATAATTCTAACTTTTTGTGAAAATAAATAGATATCCAATTTCCTTCAATACAAAATGTACAGAGAAATATGATTTCTAATGTCAAAAACATTATTGAAATTTTGTCTTCGAGACAAAAAAGTGAAGACATGGCATTGATTAGAAGTATATTGTAGTATCACAAGTTTTTTAGTATTATTGAAGAATTCAATTCATTCAATTCAAAGGTGCTAAGACAACTAAATCAGGCTCTGGGAAGAACTTCAATAATTTTTAAAATAATTGATCATTTTAAAATCAATCCTCACCTATAATTTTTTTTTATAAAGGAACATAATTTCTTTTATTCTGTAACTGAAATTTTCATGTGTCAAAAGAGTGATTTTTATACACAGGATTTATTTTCCATTGAAATATAATATGGTTTATACTGGAGAAGAGAAATTACCAAAATTTTAAGTTTTATCAATAACAAATACATCTTTTAAATCCTAACAACTGAAATTTATTCATAATGAATGGTTTCAGCCATATTTAAAGACCTCCTTCATATTTTTCCTGGAAGTTGAATGATGTATTTGTTACTGATGATGGCAAATCTAGTTGGTTTTCTTACACTATTTTAAGTTTTGATATTAAAAAGAATGACATTTTGGACTTTAAAAAGTCATTTTAATAAAATTATTAACAGTTTTAGATTTTGTTTTATTTCAAATATAGTTGGTTTTCTTACACTATTTTAAGTTTTGATATTAAAAAGAATGACATTTTGGACTTTAAAAAGTCATTTTTATAAAATTATTAACAGTTTTACAATTTTATAACCTGTGCTTCAAAAAACTTCAAAGATTTTAAGACATATTTTTCTCCATCTTGTGCATTTTAAAAATAGTGCATGATACGGCAATTTGGGTACTAGCACTTGTAACATTGAATATAGTTTANCCTATGAATTATTGTTGAAGTTTGGTGTTAGCAAACAAACAATATTAACTCATTTAGCTGAAATCGGTAAAGTGAAAAAAGTTGGATAAGTGGGTTCCACATGAACTGAATGAAAAACAGAAACAAAAGCATTTGGAAGCTTGCTTGATGTTGCTTTCTCGTCACAAATATGATCCATTTTTGATCAAATTGTCGCTTGTGATGAGAAATGGATCCAATATGACAATCGCAAACATTCAGCACAGTAGTTGGACAAGGATTAATCACCAAAACACACTCCAAAATGCAATATTCATTAAAAGAAGCTGATGGTGAGTGTTTGGTGGTCTAGCATAGGTGTGATCCATTATGATTTCATGAAACCTAGCTCATCGATCACAGCAGAAATATACTGCAACCAACAGGACAAAATATGCAAAAACTTAAAGAAAAACAGCCTAGATTAGTCAGATTGACTCCTATCTTATTGCATGATAATGCTAGACCACAGTACAAATGATTGTGGCAAAACTATAGGAATTGGAGTATGGAGGATGATGAAGTTGTTCCACTTCATCATCATTCTCCATACTCACCAGACCTAGCCCCCACTGACTACCTCTTCTTCCGCAATTTGGACAACTTTTTAATAGGAAATAATTTAATTCTGACAATGCTGTAAAACTGGCCGTCTAGGAATTCATTGACTCTTGTCCGCCAGTATTTTATACCACCAGCTTGAACAATCTGCCACTTAAATGGCAAAAGTGTATAGACAATATGGGTGCATATTTTGATGAATAAAGTAATTTCTTATATTTGTAAGTTATCAACCAACTTTGCCTTTTTTTCCACAAATTTCATTCTTGACAACCTGATAGCATGATTTTCAATTAAAAAATAAGGAGAAATGTAAGTTGAACTCTTTCAATTGCATATACACTAATCATCAGATTTCTGTAAGAGTGAGAGTGGATCAGAAATTATTCACTGTGTTTTTGTAAACTTTATTACTAAGCTTACTAAGTTCTTGTGAAACAAATCTTTACATTATTTTTTAATGTAGTTCTCAAGCTTCTTAATACACTTGCTCTATCTGTTCACAATCTTTTGAATCCCAGCAGAAAAGAAAGTTTCAGGCCAAGAAACAAGCCAGGGGCTGTATTCTGGTCACTTATCTCTCATCTCTTCTTTCACCAACGAATGACGTCAAAGTGAGAGACGAAATTTGACTCTCATACACAGTGGCGATTCTGGTCATTCGTAACAATCTTGTCTTTATTGTTGATGTCACGATTCTATTCGGTTGATTATACATGTTCGTGTTATCTGCGCATGCAAAGCAGTATAGAATTTTAACCAACGAAATTGTAAAATTTTCGAAAATGCAGAGTAAGTAATTATAGATTACATGGCAAGGAAAGCATACATTCAAATAAAGCACCCAATTTTGATAACATTGTTTTTGTTTTATAACATTTTTACAGATTGTAATGTCAATTTGTCTCTTAACAAATAAAAATTTTAATAACCTAAGTTAGAAAAGCATATGTGCTTAGATATTTTTCAAAATATTACCACCTAATTTCTCCTTAACTATCTAGGTAAGATTAACATCATATTCAATAGTTCAGTAATTGATGTAAAATAATTAAAAAAAAAAAAAAATAGAATCAGCGACGTTTTCAAGTAGGCACTGGAAAAAAAAAATCATAAGCATTTTCTCTCTCAAAATATTCCTTCCTCAGATAGAGACCATTCTCTAATATGATTGTACAGCACGAGTAGCATCCAGTTGTCCATACTGGATATAATGAAAATCGAGACAAAAGACAACTATCCGCTTGTCTTCAAGAGAAAAAGTTGTCCAGAATCATGTTTGGAGAGATGTGATAATCTCTCAAGATATAAACAAATGATTAGCCAATCAGCGTACAGTTTATGAGAGATGATGACCAGAATACAGTCCCAGTTGTGCACTGCTTCTTGATTATCATGGAAGAAAATCAATGACCTTTTTATGCATCTTTAAGGGGGCAAAAAAGACAATAGTCTCAGAGAGTGGGACCTGGACTCTGAAATGGATAATTTATTACCTTGAAATTCTTTAGCTGCATGACAGTGTGCATCTTTACAATGCCATTTGCATGGTTGAAACTCTTGGTAGCTGAAGTTTGAGATAGTGGATTATCCATCTCGCAGCCTTTTTACTTTCCTGGTTGCTATGTATGCATAACAAGGAAAAGTATTGGAATTGTATCAAATTTGACCCTTTGACTATTTTTCAAATTTTCCCATTTTGAGAACTGAAAAGTGAAAAAAAATGAGGAAAAAATTCCATGGATATGAGGGTATTGAAGAAACAAAATATGGCTTGGTAGCTTGTGTATAAGGGGCATTGATGCTATTAAATTTTGGTGGTTAAAGGTCAGGGGAATGTTAGAGGGGTGCTATTGTCATATCTTGAGAGGGGGTGGACTTAATGAAGATATTTGTTATTAGCATTTACAATCTTTTTTCATGAAATTCATCACTATACTCAAAATTAAGCTTTTTTTCCATTTTATAATAATAATATAAAAATATTTTATAAGAAAATCTCATAACAGATGATGTCATATGCAATTTTATTTATTTATTGTGATCAAATTAATACCAGTAATATAAAAATTATTTTCAAAATAAAATCTCATAACAGCTGGAAAAGTTTGGCAACTTGCTGCTATATTTTCCTCATCTATATCTTTAAAGATGCTTTAAGAATTTATTGATTTGCTTCAGGCCATAAAGTCCAAGAAATGATGCATACCTGGCTTGTCTCAGCCTGAAACACTTTTGTAAGAAAGTTTACCAGAACATTGTGGATAATTCCTGGTTCACCTTCATACAATAAAACTGGAAAATATGATAGAAATAATATCACAGATGACAGAGTTTTATATTATCATCTACTCAACAATGAAGTTTTATAACATCATATTAGCATGACCTTCCAAAAAAAATAGAAACATATTAATTATTTTTATTATTGTTATTAGCCAATGTTTTTTTGTTTTTGATAAAATTTATTTAGCTGAAAATACCATTTTCAATTGTTTATTATTTCAATAGAAAAGATAAGATTTTATTTTATTTATTTATTGTTGTATATACATGACTTGTTTCTAAGTTTTTCTTGTTAATAAATTTCTATTAATTATCTTGAAGGTGCTCTTAATAATGCAGCAGCTAAAAAGTATGACTTAGAAGCTTGGTTTCCTGCTTCTGGAACATTTCGTGAATTAGTGTCATGTTCTAATTGCTTAGATTATCAAGCTAGAAGGTTATTGGTTAGATATGGACAGACAAAGAAAATGAATGCACAAGTAAGATAGAAAAATTTATACTTATTGAATAGTTGTTATAAGAAAATATTGTTATATTTATAATTTCAGGATTATTTAACATATGATAAAATAACTGCTGTTTTCTGTTCAGCAAGTTACAAATCTAGTTTCTAGTATGAAAAATTTTTAATTTAAAATTAATTATTAAACAACCTTTCTAGATCACAACATAAAATTAATTTTAAAATNATATATATGTTACTGTGAATGACCGATATCTGGCGAATGTCAACATTCTCCGGTGAATGTCAGCATTCACGCAGTCGTTTCGTGTATGTACGAAATATTTGCTAAATATCATTATTTCTCACTTACACCAGCAAATGTCGACATTCAGCATGCACTGATGGTGAATAATGTTGAATAAAAATATTTTTATTACGTTAAGACAAAAATGCAACTTTTTAATATGTCAAAATAGGACCAAGCTTAAGTAACAGCACGTGTAAATAAACTGTTGAACCTAAAACGAACAGTACATTCTAAATCATTAAAGAAAATAATACAATAATAAACTTACACATAAATTGTGTGATTAACGTTATATAATCTTATTTATTGCAGCAACTTAAACTGTTATGACACTTTGAATTGCACAAGAGTCGCTTGCTTTTACAACTGCATTTATTCGTGAAACACTTCTTTTGCAATGACAAGATGTATAGCCTTGCTCTCCACTTTTCAAATTCACTGCAGCTGCTTCTCTCAGTGATATTTCTTGAGAAGAAATCTCATCTATGAAAAGTAACTTTTCTTTACAAATTACAAACTGGTTACGGGTATAAAGCTGCTTGAGGGTATCATTTTTGTTTGCTAATTTATAAAAGTTGGAGTCTTGTATTCCAACAATAACCACCAACACATTTCGGGTATCTGTATGGTCACGATCGACATCAGGAACTTGTATTCGTACAGTATCACCAATTTGAGCAGAAGAAAACGGTGAAGAATTTGGCGACAGACTGTCGCCTCTCTGTCAACAATAGCTTCTCAGGTGTCGTTTTGACCTCCACCAATGCTTATCTGTGCTTGTCGACATATACCAGCAATTGTTCAAATGTATAATAATATAACCAAATATTTGATCTTTCACCAACCTATTTTGTATGAGAGAATATCGACATTCTCTAATTTCGGTCTTTCACAGTAACACATATATATATATATAAGAACCTTGAATAAGTTCTTGCTGTTATTTGTGAAAATTAACACTTTATTTTAAAAAAGTTGTAATAAACACGTCACTGAAAGTATTGTCCATCGCTAGCCACTACTTTCTCCCATCATTCTGGCAGCATTTGAATTCCATGTCAGCAAAACGACACGTCTTTTGAGGCTATCCTAGAATCAACCCATTTTTTGGCATCTTCATAAGAATGGAAGTGCTGCTCAGCCAGGCCATGTGCCATCGATTGGAACAAGTGATAATCCGAAGGGGCAATGTCTGGTGAATATGGTGGGTGGGGTAGGACTTCCCATTTAAGCGTTTCCAAGTACGTTTTCACCGGTTGTGCAACATGTGGCCGAGCATTGTCATGTTGCAAAATCACTTTGTCGTGTCTCTGCTCATATAGCAGCCATTTTTCCTTCAATGCTTGGCTCAAACGCATCAATTGTAGTCGATAGCGATCTCCCGTGATGGTTTGTTTGGTTTGAGCAGCTCGTAATAAACTACACCTAGCTGATCCCACCAAATGCAGAGCAGAAGCTTCGAACCATGGATATTCGGCCTTGCTGACGATGTTGATGCATGGCCGGGCTTACCCCACGATTTTCTACGCTTAGGGTTATCGTAGTGTATCCATTTTTCATCACCTGTCACGATACGATGCAGAAAACCTTTCCTTTTCTGCCGTTGAAGCAGCTGTTCACATGTGAAAAGACGCCGTTTGACGTCTTTCGGCTTCAACTCATACGGCACCCAATGTCCTTGCTTTTGAATCCTTCCTAATCCTTTTAAACGTTTTGAAACTGTTGTGTGATCAACTCCTAATGATTCTGCAAGTTCAGCTAGCGTCTGACATGAGTCTTCATGAAGTAATGGCTGTAATTCCTCATCTTCAAACTTTTTTGGTGCGCCAGATCGTTTTTTATCTTCAACATCAAAATCATTATTTTTGAAGCATCTAAACCAATCTCTGCGTGTTGTTTCTGACAGAGCATGGTCGCCGTAAATCTCAACAAGAATTGTGCGCGCTTCAGCTGCAGATTTTTTTTAATAAAGTATTGCAATAAAATTCCCCGCAAATACTCTTTTTTTGGCACGAAACTAGACATGTTTAACACAATGAAAAAATAAGTTGTTTACACTTCGGTGAAATGACATATACTGAATTTCAAGGTCGCTTATTGTACTTCCTTACAGATGCATCACCATCTAAAAATAAACACACATGGTTCTGGTAACGCCATCTGTTAAAGAAAAGCGCGAACTTATTCAAGGTCCTTATATATATTTATTATATCATACCATAGTAGTACTATTTACTAATTTATAGTAAAGTTACTTCATGCAACTCTGAAACATGAGAAAAAAATTAGAATTTTCATTATTCCTTATATACCATATTACTAATATAAAAGCCTTTGTGTGTGAATTCCATACAACTCCTGCAATTTTTATCCGATTCAGATGAAATTTTGGTTATATTTGTTTTATGTTCTGATGAAAAGTATAGACTACTTATTTTACAGAAATATTAGCTATAGAATAAACATTTTATAGATTTTGGATTGGTAATTGCACTTACATTGCAGTGACATCAGTGACCACATGATGTTTATGCTTCATGAGGAAATTTTTCTTAAGTTGTATTTTTAAATATTTTGGCAAATAGCATATTTTAAATTTACTTCATTAAATTTAAACTTTAAAAATGATTGCCTATCATATAACTTCTATAACAAATTTAAAAAAAATCTTTCCATAGTGACCATGTGAGATTCTGTTATACAGTTGGAATTCTCATTAGATCATTAGATCTAATGGAATTCTCATTAGATCTAATGAGCCCGTTATTTAGAAAGTGTTATCGTTCATCTAACTAACGTATATACAATTCATATTTGTTTAATCAACTTGGATTTAAAAAGACACTCTATTTTGTTGAAAAAAATGCCTAGGGGAAAGTGTGAGAGTAAAATTGGTCAGGTAAATTCTAGATCTAAATGAATAAGAACACTGAGACTCTCTGAAGGTCCTGAAGTTCAACTTGAGCAACATTCAATAAGAATGGCTTTGTCAAGGGATGCAGAAACAGCATCACAATATCAAGCTTGAGTATAAACTACAGTATTTAATTTGTAGAAATAGCAACTTTTCTTGAATCTCTTAAAATCTTTACTTTTCTCAATTCTTCAATATTCTTCAATTTCTACATTCTAATTAAAAGTATTTCATCATGCTAGATGGAGAAATTTCTAGTTATATGGATAATATATTAACAGTGGCATAACTGTGTAGATAAGGTGTTTATATACTGTACTGTATGTTTCAGGTTTAAATCTTACTTTTTTTAAAAAAAGTTTTTTCTAATGTGTGTTGAAACATATTATTAATGCAATGTACAGGTATCCCTCATATACAACATGGTTTGAAAATTGAGGATATCCCCCATAAAACATGACTTTCAGTTTTGTTCTAATGCAGTTTTGGAAATTCTTGATATAAAATTTCACAATTTTTAAGTGTAAACTACATTATTCTATACTTTTTTATTCAAGTAAGCATGCAAGTAAGCAATATTCTAAAATCCATGGATTTTAGAATATTGAAATTTTCAAAGTATTTTGTGCTTTTCATCAGGTTTATTTTAATGAAAACTGATAGGACAAGGAAGAAAAAATTGCATTAGCTTTCCTGTCAACCAGATGTTGTTTTCATTGCTTTTCAACTTTTGCCTTTAAGACTGTCACTGTGTTTTGTCTTTATAGATTAATCTTTGTGTTTAGAAAAGTTTACTTAAACATTTTAGGTGAATGTTGTTAAACTTTTTTAATCATAGATATTACTTACCTACGAATGATTACTTCATTCGTAAAAATGATAAATGAAATACAGCGGTTTCTTGGTACTCAACTGAACAAATGCAATTTTCTAGTACAAACTTTTGATTAATAGCATATTTTTATTTCATCATCCATAAAAATTTTTTATGATAAAAATAAAAAATATGAAAATGATGCTGATATTTCTGATCAAGATCAACAAAAAGCTGAGATGATGATTATACTTTGTAAAAAGAAAATGCTTTCATTTAATTAAAATTAATATTAATGCATAATACAGTACTTTTAATTATTATTAATTAATTATTGATTGGAAATAATTATTAATTGCTTTAATAAACCTATTTCTCTTAGTAAGGAAAAAGAATAGCATACTTTTGGTAACTTCTGGAATGTAACCCTATGTTTTGCATTAGTCTTTTGTTTCATGTAGCACAGATTTGCGTAACACAACACTTTTTTGGAATGTAACTACTGTGTTGTATGAGGGATACCTGTATATTTTTATTTTCAATGAAGAAAACTCAGTATTTTGTAATTATAATTGATATGCTATGCAAAATAAATGTTAATATAATCTTAAATTATTTATCACTTTTCTCGTGATTTTTATTTTTACAATATTGTATCATATTGATAATAGATGTCAAGTACTGTACATACAATAGTCCTTTCTTATCTAGTCTTGAATTATTGGTGTAGCAATGTGTTGAGTTGAGGGTGTCTTGTTACAAACCCATTGTGCTTAATTATAATTATAACAAGTAGAAAAAGTCATACTATGTTACTTCTTTACAAATGTGAATTATTGGTGTATCAACATGACAGATCATGTTGATACACCAATAATTCACATTTGCAAGGGAGTAACATAGTATAACATAGTATCAACATGATCTGTCATGTTGATACACCAATAATTCAACATTTGCAAGAAAGATTTTAGTTGTTGTAGCCTTGCTGTATGTCTGTCTGGAAATAGAATCTTCAAAATATTGAATTACAATAAATTAAATGTTTAAAGTGCATGGCAAATAAATATTATAAAAAACAAAATAGTTACTTTATTAAAATTAGAAAAATACTTTGCGCAATAATCTTCTTCAGTTCAGATTTAAAAAATTTTAAAAAGGTAAGATTCCTGCAACATACAGTATAGTAGACATCTTACCCACTCAGCTATGCTACTGTTAACATGTTATTCACATAACATGGTTCACTAGGAGTAAGAAAAGTTTCAAACTTATTTTTCCTGCAAATGCTTGAAAGTTCCATTGAGTGGCTTTACCATGAATTACTAGAAGGGTAGTATACTGCAATATATATCAAACTCACAAGGGGGGACTATCAACACTTGCCCTCCTCAAACTGTTTGATTTTTTAATAATATAGTACACTTATCTAACTAATATCCAGTAAAGTTAATATTGCAAGCCCTTGCCACTGTGCAAGAGTTTGCAATAAATTAACCTTGAAAGTTTTCTGTTTTGGTTATATAGTGAGTTCATAAAAATGAATCATGGTCAAGTGTTGTTGAATGAGTAAGATGACTGATTGGCAAGCTCGATATTGCAACTTCCTGCCTCTCTACTTTTGAAGGTTTTTAAGAATCCAGTGAATTATTATACGTATTAGGTCATAAGCATATAAATTTAATATACTTTTAAACCAACAACTGTAAGAAACATGCTAATTTATTATTCAATGGAAAAATAAAATTGTTCTAGAATTCTATAGAATAATTAATAAAAGCAATGTCTTTACAAGAGCATTATTTTTTTGTATTGTCATAGGGAAGCTGATTTCATTGACATTTAAAAATACTGATCTGTCATTAATGAATTTTGATGCATGCCTTGCATATCTTATCATTGCAAGGAAAAATCGTGCTTTCAATTGGTGTAAAAGAAGCAAATGAATTTTAATTGTCCTCTCAAGTGGTTATATAAAATGTTTTTGGACTAATATATGTAATAATTCACATGACTGCATGTTACAGGAAAAGATTTCTTTTAAAAAAAAATCGGAAGAAGAGAGACAGGAAACTGCAACATTGAGCTTGCCAACAGGTCATCTTACTCATTCAACTATGCTTGCTTAGGACTCATTTTTATGAACTCAGTATATAACCAAAACAGAAAACTTTAAACATTGATATTTTGCGAACCCTTGTGCTTTATCTGACTATAAAATAAGAGTTACTTTAATCAATGCTCTACTGTATATGATATACAGTAGAGCATTGATTATTCGACCCCCGATTAACCGTCACCTCGGTTAACCGACCGTTCCAGTCGGCAAATTTCAAATGTCCGCTAGTGATGTGGCACTACAATATTTGGCAATGTCTTCGCTACTTTAATATTATTTTTGTTAAATTTTTGCGTGTTTTAGCTGGCAATACTGGCTTGACCATTGAAGGGAGGCCAGTATTTAAACGAGACTTAATTTTCTAATTATGAGTGATTGTTTATTTTGTGAGCAATAAAATAATTTTAAAATAATTTTTAACAATACGATAGCGATGATTATTATTTAAAAAAAATTTGTTAGACTTAACATCGATGAAAATTCAATGCAAAGTTGGTTAATAGCAATATACTAATATACTAATTACATGGGATATACTAATATACTATACTAATAATGTATTTTTTTCGGTTATCCGATTTTTCAATTATCTGACCAACCTGAGTCCCCAATTGAGTCGGATAATCGATGCTGTACTGTATTGTAAAAAAATCAAACAGTTTGATGAGAGCAAGGGTTCGATGGTCTCCTTATAAGTCATTCTTTTTAGAAGTAAAGGTTTTTGACTTAAGTTCTTTTCATTAATTTTTGTTTTAGATATAATTTTAGAATGGAAAGTTTTAGTGTAGAATAATAAATGAATTTTTATTTATTTCTTTGTTGTTTAATTTATATTAATTTGAAGCACTTTGATAACATCTGCTATAATTTTTACAGAATTCTTTTCATTTTGTATTTGTTTCAGTGTATTTCTAATTTAAAAAGATTACAAAATAATGAATTTAGATTTTATGAATTTAGGAACTATTTGAAAAAAATTTTAAAAATTAAAATTTGAAGGGGAAAAACTGAAGTTTGAAACATTTATGAACATGTTTTAATAATAAACAAAACACCTTTTTTTGCCGAGAAATAAATATAATTTGCAAAAACAAACGTTTTCATGAAAATGTTTGTTTTTGCAAATTATATTTATTTCTCGGCAAAAAAAGGTGTTTTGTTTATTATTATTTAGTTGCTGAGCGCTTTTGATATTGAACATGTTTTCTTTTAAAATATATAGTATATGAAAAAAAAAAAACTAAGAAAATGTACACACACATTTTCTTAGTTTTTTTTTCAAATATTAGAAAACAATAATAAATATCTTGAATGAAATATAAGTAAATAATTTAAATTTATTTTTAATGTGACCTAACATTTATCATTAAAACCATTAGTATTTATTGATAAAAACAAAAATTATTAGTCATTTAATATCTTCAGTGTTAAAAGTTTTTATTACCAGTATTCTATTCTCTGAGACTATGTATGAGACAAATAAAATGTTATTTTGGAAATGTTTAACATATTGCATGATTGTAGACTTCTTTAGTAATAGTTTTCTACAATAAGATATAGTTAATACTGTACAGCATTAACTGTTCAGTATATTTTTATAACAGATTTCTTTAAAAGTTATGATTTCTAATTGTTACAGGTTGATTATGTACATATGTTAAATGCCACTATGTGTGCCACAACGAGGGTAATCTGCGCCTTATTAGAAAATTATCAGACAGACACTGGTATAAAAATTCCTGATGCATTAAAACCATTTATGCCTCCAGGTAATTTTTTAAATATTGAATTACTATTATTTCAACCATCAAATTACTTGTTTTGAATAATTGTTTTTGTTCTTTGTATTATGAATTATTATAAACCGAATGAAGTATAAATCATTTAGTTATTTAATGATACTCTTAAGCAATTCTGGATAAAGTATATTTTATTCTAGAAATGTTATACCTTTTACTGAGTTACATTTTTTAAAGAAATCTAATTTCAGAAAGAATTTGCTTTCAGAACACCTGTACTATATTTACATTCACTAATTAAATATTTATAATAAATAGCAGAGTATTTCCAGATCATCACACTACAGTAGACCCCCCCCATAACACTAGATAATTTCATGTTATATGAATTCCACGTTGTATGAGGCACTTAGATTTTACAAATCTAAGTGACTTGTACAACATGGAATTCATATAACACGGAATTATCTACAGTGTTATAGGGGGTCTACTGTATATTGATTATCATGCTGAAAACATTGCAAAAGAAATCATCATTACTGATATTTCAAACAGTATTGATAATTGACTTATAGATTGATTGCAATATATATTTACAGTATTATACAGTATATTGCTTTTATCTATTAAATTTTAATCTATTAGTGGTAAATTTTTAAAATACATTTTTACAAATGAATCAATTAGTTTCCATTTATTACATATTGTTATACATACACAGTTTCATAGTTTCCATAAACAAATGCGTACACAATTTCCATATTAATCAAGTATAATACACTGGTTTTGTATTAGCTTAATTAATTACAACAGTCACAAACATTTGTGGCTGAACATTCTCTCTTAATTTTAATAAAGTAGTAGTAGTAGTAGTAGTAGTAAGCTCCCATTAAAATTATCAGAATTTAGTTTTCTAGTGAATTTCTTTTCCTTTTGTTTTATGAAATTACAAACACTGAAATTATGAAAACGACTTATTTTAATGTATCATCTGTGAAAGATTTTAGTGATATGAAACATCAAACTATACCAAATTAGATATTAAAAATGATAATTTATTGCATTTATTTTCAATCTCATAATATTTGAATACAGAAAGATATTACATTAGATGAAACTTGTTTCATTATTAATTTACAAAAATTATTACAGATTTGCAAGAGGAAATTCCATTCGTGAGACCAGCTCCTATCGATGAAGCTATGACCAAGAAACAGAGAAAACAGAAAGAAGGAATGGAGAAGAAAAAAGATCAAAATTCAAATTAATTTTTTTATAAATGATTAGTAATTACTATTATTATATTACGCCACATTGCAGTGCATATTTAATAATGTCGCTAAAACTTATTTTTCACTTCTGAAGGATATTAAAAATTGTCAAGAGTTTTCTGTTGTGTAATTTATTTAATTATTTATACAAAAGTTACGAAAATTCTTCACCAAATAACATATCGAAAAATAAAATCAGAATGTTATTTAGTGATTTAAAAGGTTTGTCGTATTATTAAGATTAAATAATTTAATTAAAAGGCTTACAGAAATGTTCGTAATCATTAACGAAGTCGCTAATTTTATGATAGGCAATTTTTTTCAATTTATTTAAGAAACTATATTCTAAGGTGCAGCTTTGGAATCTAATCTTTTACTTTACCTGAACATGGTACAACTTCGTGGAAGTTGCAGCAACGTACGTTGCGTGCAACCATTTGAGGCAACCTATATTACAATTTTTTAATGCAGTCTCGCTGATGGTCATAGGTGGCAGCCTACCTCTCTGGGGAACTCTGGATCGGTTCTAGAGGATCGAAAAATGTTTAGGATGGTGGTCCGTTCTGATGTGTGCTCTTCCCTCATCACCTAGTCGAACCCATAATGGGCTTGCCAAAAAGACCCTCTTAATGCCCACAGGGCAGAAAGAACTAACTAAGAAAGATGCAATCTCGCTTTAGCGATGAAAACTTCTTTGAAGCGAGATTTTCTTTTTTTATTTGCCAGAGTCGCGTGTGACTATGATTGCATGTAACCACGATAAATCAGCCAACGTTGATCTAGTAAGTTATTGACTGATGTAATGCGTGACGCCACTCTTGGTCGAAGAAGTGAAAACAGCTGCTCCCAAAGAAAAAAGTACAATGATTAATAAATAAAAAATGGAAACATCTGAACATTCAGGAGGAGACCATTTCAGTAGATAGAGATAAGTGAATTGTATCACGTAGTTTTTTATGCTCGATTTATCCCGTGCATAAAACCCAGCGCATAAACACTACGTTGCCAACACAATAACGAACTTTGATTTCTCTTTGCGCTCAGCTAAATATAAACAATGTGGTTGATCGCTACTGCTTTTTGTTTTTGAATCGGAGATGAAAGCATCGTGTCGCCATGATAAGTACGACTGTTGAGCTGCAATTTCCGGATGTAAACAAGTAACTTTTATTCTAAAGATGTTACAATGTGTTCGAACATATTACATTACTTTCAATAGAGACCACGTCCCATTTCATAGGAATCTCATAAAGCAGCAGGTCGCTTGCGTGTAAACATTCGGTATAAATACAGTACAATCTCATACGAGTCTTACGATAAAGACTAATAAAATTATGATGTCTAAAAAAGGACAAATCCGTTTATTATTTTGTATCGCGATGTTTTTCACCGAAAGTTATTAATTTAATCGTTGTTTTGCCGTTATATTTATTATTTACGGCAATTTTACAATAATATAGATTCGATAATAATATAATTTAATTGTAATTTTTATTAGAATTATTTTTAAGAATTCAAAATCGTGTACCTAACTATAATTCAAAACTAACAATCAAACAATCTGGGTATTTAGCGCATAAGCAGGGGTGACCAAATCTCGTCATGATAGAGCCTTACATTGCCTATAAGAAATACATGAGGGACTCATGATGAGTCCCTCGTCTATTAGAACGATTATATATTTATATACTTAAATATAGTATATGGAAGCCGCAGTAAGGTTCTAGAAGAACCGTATGAGACTCGCAAGCACTGGAATACTCGATCAACATTTTTGCGTATACATTACAGGTCGTTTTATATATCTTGGCCGGGTAATGCGCAGTACTCTGTTGGCTCTGGAAGTGTTCAAAGCACATTTTTTGGTAATGCACATTCATTTTGGCACAGATTCTCAATCAAGATTTGTGAAACGAGCTGTCCTACTGCGATATATACTTTATAGCAGTTGCTACAACTAAGATGGAATCATTAACATTTAATGTATTTATTGATCTAATCTGTTACACTAAGAATTCAGAGATATCAAAAAGAATTCTTACTACTATATCGAAAAATGCATAGGCATATGTGAGCTAAGGAGCAGCCAAAATTTATGTAAATAACCATTAAATATATAGGAGCATAGAATTTTCGATGCCGATAAACGCAAACTTCTAGTATTTCATTTTGTATTTGCCAGTTTTATAGACTCTGCAATTCATTTGTTTAGATCCTCTGTCAATGCGATATTAAGTACTATTGTTTTCTCATTCCAATATTTGTTGACGTCATTCCTAAAGCAAGTTGGAAGTTTATCCATTACGACTGTACAAAATACGTTTTCTCTTCCAAACCGGTTTTGGAATAAGCGATAGACAATGAGTTAACTCGTGCGTGATAAGCGTAATTTTTATAGAAATAACCAATGAAAATTCCCTAGATGACATGTCCCGGGTATGTCGAGTTCGGCTTCCTCATTTGTAGGCTTGTTTAGTACCAATAAGATGGAATCCTATCTTCTATAACTTCTCGGGCTTTTTACATCTGTTTGAGATACATTCTACAGGTTCTCCATTCCGCTCTTTATCTAAGGTTACTTTTCTACGTTATATTATACTGTATATAAAATATGCAAATAGTAAACATGCCAGTTTAATCCTCGAAGGGATCCGAGTTTGAGTCTCGGAAATTTTATACCTTCTTCTCAATGTCTTTTTCGCTAACCTGATTTGGTTTGATGAGATACAGTAGCGCAACTCATAGGCAAATCTTTCAAGGACTTTCTACGGAAAAATTTTGACTATTTAAGTGTTAGACACGTGAAGAAACCCGAAAAATTTCACTTGACTAGACCGTTGATGAGACGCGAACCCAAGGCCAACTAAACTACCAGTGTTCAATGGTTTTATACCACTCGGCCATGGTGGACTGCTAGCCCAACCATGGGCCGAATAGAATCATCACAGGGACGCCCGTATATTGAGGCACTTGGGGCAAGTGCTTCCTTTTCGTCTCGGTTTCTTTTTCCTAATCCCCGAGGGGGCACAAACATCAGAAAATCCATGACTTGTAGCCTATTATGCAAATATAAAAGAAACTAATGAACGATATTTGTCCATTGACTCATGCAACTTTGTTGTATGTTTACCAAAACCCCATTCCTTGTTTTCGAGGCCAAGTTAGCACCGATTGTATCCAGCATCACTTTATGGGAGCGCTGATCCCACGTTGAATCATAAAGTTTGAAGCCCTTTTTTATAGCTTATGTCCCCATTTTTCATAGACTGCAGGTGCCACTGAATCATCATCATCATAATCATATCGCTCTAGAGATCATTGAAAGTTTTTGCTGGCAACTACTAGTAAAGTACCTCCACTCATTTCTAACTTGTAATTTCGTCTTTCCATTATCCATTCTCAATTGCTCCAAATCTCGTTTAACACACTCAATCCATCCAGTGGGGGTCTTCCCCGTCGTCTACAATCCTCTAAATCCTTTTCCAACACTTCTTGATAAATGTCCTGCGTTCCTTCTATAAAATGCCAGTAATAAATTTTCGATAACCTGAAGACAAACTTTTTTTTAAAAAAAACTTTGCATTCCGGTTATTGAATTATATCTTTTTTATAAGAAAGATATAATCTGCCGAATAAATTCGAACAATGAAGATTTTGAGAGGATTTGAGAAAGGGTTCTGAAAATATATAGGCCTAATCAGAGGATAGAAGAAAAATTTCTAAATACTTAACTGTATGCTGATTATGTTGTCTATGTTGTATGTTGATTAGTTAGTTCTCTTTGAAATGCGTTTCAAAGAAAACCAATTAACAAACAAATATACAGACAGAAATTCCATAATATTAAATAGAATTCCGAATTATTATTCGGCTACTTTTCAGAGGGTACCTGATTACCGGGCATTTCGAATTACAAAGTGTCGCATTAACGAACTTGTATTGTACATGGTATAAAATTCTATTTAGCAAAAAATAGAACATAGACTTTTTACATTATATGTTAAGGCATTATACTGATTAATGCAAAACGTATCAATAATAATTGATAACAGGATAAAAATGTACAAAATACGATCTTTTCAAATAAAAACTAGTTCATAATATTGTAGAAAATCGACAAGCAGTATACATTGCAAAAGAAAATCTTTCGCTGAAACGAAATACGATACTGAAGTAAATACTTTATACTTCATAAAATCAAGATTCTTGAAGTACAATAAGAGCCATTCAGCAAAACTAAGCAATCAAGAAAAAATTCACCGCGATGTACACATAAAGCGCGACATCGCATAGTTGTAATTTGTGGCATTGCTATTCCATGGTGTCCAGCTACTGCTTATTATCAATAAGTAGTTAGACATCATGGATCATGGGGTAGCTATGTCAAAATATTCCATAAACTCCAACCTCGCTAACAGCGATGTTGCGGTTTTTATATCGAAATTGACAGACAAAATGAAAAGAAGCTTCTTTGTTTTTCTGCGTTCATTGTGTTTTTACCAGATGATATTATTAGGTTTTATTATATTAATGGATTTTAGTATAGTGCACTATATTATTGAATTTTGTAATGTTTGTTTATTACAATACTTCTGATATTTGTAGCTTTTGTAGTTTATGCAACATTTTCGTGAGAAGTGTTCTGTTTTACAGTATTTATGCCTGTAGTTTTGTCTAATATTTGTTAGGCATTTCAGTCTGTGACAATGGCTGCATGCGGTAAGACGTTAACGTATAGGTGAATTGTTATCTAGAAGAATTACGCGTATTTTCGACCCTGATAATGTGTTTATTTTCAAATACGTGAATTCAAATACTTAAAAAATACTTTAGTGTTATTTTTGTGATGAGATTTATTTCACTGATTTTTAAAACTCAGCAGAAATGATGTTTTAAAATTATTCCTATAATGCTGAATAATGTTTATAATATTTGAAATCATAATGAGTTTATTATAATTTTTCATATTTTCTTGAGTAATTAGTTGTATTCGTGAATATATTTTCTCGATCTCGTATTGTTTCCCTATTATATTCTCCATTAGTAATTTTATATGAAGTTTTCTAAAAATATTTTTAACGTAATAGGAATACTAAGTTCAACAATGGCTTTCCGGGTTCCTAGACTCAAAGAGTGGGAGCCCGCCACATAAATTAATAACGTCTAACTGTATCTAAAGAATTGTTTATACTCGTATATAAATTATTCCATACGATTGCAACAGTAAAATTGCTTTCTTTTTTTTTACAATTTAGGAACCCCGAACCTCATATACCTAGTGGTAAGTCGGCAGTGCAGTTCAGGTAAGATGAATGAGTTACATTATTATTATTCTCCTAAAATCGTGTTCTGATTATGAATTACACGAAAGTAATGAATCTGTTCGTCACTAAATAATTTAATGTTGGCAGGTTCAGATAATGGAGGACGTTTTTTTTTTCTTTTTTAACTCTTTCCGCCCTATGGGCACTAAGAGGGCCTCTTTTTGCAAGCCCATTATGGGTTCGGCAAGGCCCACAATGGGGCTGCCGGGTGGTGAGGAACGAGGCCCGACATATCCGAACGGACCACCCCCCGAAAAATTTCTGGGGATTTTTCGACCCGTTCGTATTCGAACCCAGGTCCCCCAGAGCGGTAGGTTGCCACCTTGGAAGCTCGGCCATCCGGCCGCCTAATGGAGGACGTCAGAGAGAGTTTGGTCTGTGGCAATGGACATAAAAATAACTAATATATTTTTTTTTCTTCTTTTTTATAAAACCAGAGCAATGGAAATTAAACTTTTTCACACAATGGGAAAAATATACTGTTATTTGTTTTATTAATTCTATTTGTATGTTTCCATAGCTTCCGGAGAGGAATAGGGTCTACTAATTGGTGCCTCTAAGGCCCTGGGTATTATATACTGCATGTAACTTTTAGATTGTTAAAATTTTCTGTTTCTTCCCAATGACTTTATTATTCTACCGAAAAAAACGGTTCATTACTTGAAAATTTTAATTTGTAGAGTATAACTGAACTAAAAGTTCTACTGTAATTACCGAACAAGAAGTGACACAAGAAATAAAAGGAGTGAAGTAAAGTCGCAGGAATGCGTTTGAAAAATGTGTGGACGTCTAATATTGTGTCTCCATCTGTTGTATAACACTAGAATTATTTAATGTAGACACTCTGATGCGTGTCAAATTCGTGTATGGTGTATTTGCTGTGTTAGAAGTTGTGATGAACACGAAACTACGAATGAATTAATTTCATATGTATTATAGATCAGTAATATATGTAACTTATGTAATCAAATATAGAATCATCAAACTTTGACAAGTAATTTAATAAATGTGGTTTAAACGTACAAAACATTTATTTGATATAANTTTACTTACAATTAAATCTTTACATTTAATTGTAAGTAAAACTTAGTAAAATTTTAATTGTAAGTAAATCATTACATTTAAGTTTCTATTTAGTGTGGAAGATAAATTGATTGAAAACTCAAATAGTAATGCTACCGTAATATTTATGATATTAATTTATACAATGCCTCTTTGTAGACATCGTGAATTATAAATATCAATTACATTAAATACTAAAAGAACAGAATGATTAAAGAAGCATTTTCCATTTTGACACCTATACAAACAGCTACGTTATAATTTTAAAAATCCAGCAACGAGTTGTTTAACTTTCCCGGCAACATCTAAAACTGCATTTGGCATAATTTTTATTATACAGGTTTCATTTCCGACATACCGAAATTGATAACAATATTAATGAAAATGGCGGTAAAGTACAACTAAAAAAATTGAAATTTGTCAGAAAACCAGTTTAAAAACTCCGACAATTTAATAATAATTAAAAAAAATGTCATTTCTATTACGATTACATCATTAATATGCGCGTGATTACCAAAAATATATACACAAATAACGTAATTTTCTCGATGTTCAAATTATTTCGGGGAATAAATTATAAAAGGACATTAGTTATTGATGCTATACATCGAATACGAACACGTATTAATTAAAATTTTAAGAAGTTATGTGTTATATACAAAATAAACGAAATCAAGAATGCTTAGTTTCGGTGGGGATCGCCGGAATCTTCGCGTGAAAAGTCCATTATCTTTTCGTAGATTCTGTGAAATCTCCCGAAACTATGTAGACTAGGTCCATCAGATTCTGGATGAATATTGTCCGTTTGAAAGAGTGGATCCGGGACCCCTGTGGCCTCCGGAAACGTGCAACGGCTCCCTACTCGAATGTTGAGAATAACGGCTTCCGGGCCGAGAATGAACAATGGCATAATGATCACTACCCGTGCTCATCGAGTTGAGTGTCGAACCACCCGACGTATAGCCCGGTTTGTTGAGCGACGTGCGAGATCCGTAATGAGAACCCGGTGCCCAACCTAATTTATAAGGATCGTAGTCTTCCATTTCTGAAGGTTCCTTCTCCACCACCTGAAAGATATCACAATCATGAAGCATTCCCTATATCATATCATATTTTAAAATTTAATTACAATACAACTTACTTCTGTTTTAGTACAGGTGCACGTCAATGAAGAGCACAGGAATATATTGACAATTAGCATAACTAATAATAAAACAGCTAAACAGATACAAAGACCTATTAACCATGGAAATCTCCATTCTGTACATTCGGTTGTAGCTTGGGCAACTGAAATATTTCGTGGAATTTATCAAATTTCGCTTTAAAAATAAAAAATAATAATGATAATAAATGTGAAAGTTTCATTATTCTTACGAATCTGTTCTCCTGGATGTACGACAAATGCCGAAGTAGAAGCTAACAATTGAACATTATCTTCTCTAGTACTAGGACTTTGTGGAAGTGCACGTGGTAATTGTTCGTAATTAGCGGGACAATTTACCTGTGTTTTATGATATTTATTTTAAATTATATTGTATTTATATTTATTTTTTTACATTTTATTTATATTTACCTGTTCGCAACCTCCTCTGCAAAGGACTATGTCACACTGAACGTGAATTTGATTGCTATTTGGGAATTTAAACATCGAATATAACTTTGCATCCGCAGAATGTGATGTTTTATTGTATTGAAATTCGGATAAAAATTTACCAGTTGGACACCTAAAAATTATAATAAATATATTGGAATAAATTTAGTTTGAAGTGTTAATTTATAATTAAAAATGCTAATTAATTAATTTTGAAAAAATAAAGTTATCCAACATTCTTAATTTTAAAAAATTATAATTTAATTATTAAATAAAAACATTCGATTTTATTTATTTTTACTTCTCATTGAATAGGGTTAAACTAATACGAACCCATTGTTATCAATTAGTTGGACTTCGGTGTCATTGGATGCAAAACTAATGCAGGATTTAACTTTCAATCCATAAATGCCTGAAAAGATGAAAGAAAAAAGTAACGTTAAGACAAAGATGAAAGATAAATGGCCCCACTGAGTAACAAGAGTGCATTGGCCTGTGTCTAGACTCAAGTGTTGCCCACGTTATGTTACTCTTCAATCTACCGCCCACACGTTTTCTAGTTAAAAACCTCCATAAAAGGCTAACACGAATTGATTTATTATACAAATGTTAAGTAAAAAGTTTAATCGAATTTTAAATAAAATTAAAATAATAACAAATAAAGCGTTAAAATTAATAATTAATCGAAAAATATACTAACTGTCTGGATTGGAAATGGAAGCTCGCAGTGAATATTGATGTCCATAAATTAATTCTGAAGTCTTCTTGTTATTATCCAAGAAGTTCAAAGAAACTCTCGATAATTCATTTCTAAATTTAAAATATTATTTTAAATTAAAACAATTAAATTAATTTACATAAATTTAACGTTATATTAATTACTCGCCTCGTATTTTTAAACCTGGATTTACCACAGTCGATGTGATAAAATAAATCCCCAGATAGTTCTAAAGTTTTATGAATTCTTACAACAATATCCACGGATTGTTCATCAGAATTCTATAGTTACAATATAAATAATCATTGAACTGCCTCTTCTATATATTGTACACAGTAAACAAAGAATATAGAATTAAACCATCAAACCTTTTTTATCTTCACACCACAGTAACCAGGATCATTAGGTGTCGCTAACAGATTAATCTTTAACGTTGTATTATATTGATTGTTTCCATACGAAGAGCAAGAACTTCTTCTATAGTCTTTGACGTGTACCACCCCATCGAATCGATTGTCGGTGATCACAGATACTATTAATTGTCGACGATCGCATCTAACGTTGACTATCGAGAAATATAGAATGTAATTAAGCTTCCTATACGATATTATCACACTAAATTAGTTTAAAATTATAAAGATACTTCTTTAAACAAAGGTCAAAACCGTTATAAAGTGACATCTTTCTGCGAAATGTTTACATAGAATGGAATTTGAAGTGATGACCCCGGAAGTGCTCGGGAATGACGAGCTTGGACTCCTTTTCTGTTGGACGTTTAACAGTTTTTCACCTTGAAGTAGCCTATTATTAGCCAACCGTGAAATTTTTGTCGATATTTATAACTCAGAACCAACAATTTAACAAATTAGTACCGTGCTCAGTAGACTGTATCGAAGAATATCTCGTTACGAAATCGATCTAAACATCATTTAGAATACAGGAAACTGCTTTTTTTTTTAACTCTAAAGATAATGGAATAATCACGAGGTGTAGAAAGATATTAATAAAACAACTATTTTGTTATGCAGTTTGTAATAGCGACATAAATACCTTCGGGTATCGCCTGTTTTACTTTACATTCCGTGAATTAATATCCATATTTTACCACAAAAAATTTAAAAAAAATTATTTATTACAGTAGTAGAGTATAACATTATGAATTTATGGAGATAAATTATTCTTAGTGTGTTTACGAGACGGTGACCCGAAAGATAGCAATGATATCACGGGGTTATAGAGCATGATTAAAGAATCTTCACAAACCAGAAGACAGAATTTAAGAGTCAAGGAAAACTTCCAAAATTTAGTTTTGGGACTGTTCTCCAAGGACACGATGGAAAGAAATTATTCGATTTTATCTCGAGTTCAAGGTGTAATTTTATATGGATTACCTATTCAAATTCAAAGCTGTCAGAGTTAATTTTATATGTGAATAAAAATTAAATTATAGATAGCATTCTTAGAGTTTATGATACGAAAAAGTCTGGCATATTCTACTAATAAATTTTAAAATATTTTTATAATTGTTAAGATGATAAATGTCGTGGAAATTATTATAAAGGCAATTTACAACTAATCAATTCTAGAATTTTCAGAAAAATTATGAAATGCAATCAAATCTCCAATAAAAGACACCCCTAAACAGCAGCCATTTTTTCAGGAACTTTATTTAAAGCAAACAATGCGTACAAAAGAACCTCTAAATAACTGCCACCGACGAACAACGACCATCTCTTTTATGTTATTGTTAGTGGCCGTTGTACAGAGATTTGACTGGACTGTATTTATGATGAAAACTAGACAAAATATTGATTTAATTATTGTTCTTTTGCTTACTTTGATTTATTTTTAATTTATCTCTCGTTTATTACGTTAGTGACTATTTATAAAATACGATAATTTCAACTCCAAAAACTACGAAGTGTAATGAAACTTTTTATAAATCGTCGCGAAATTCACTCGAAACTGTAAAGCAGGTTATACAAGATATCAGAATCAAAATGAATCTCTGTAACCTTGTTTTTTATTCGAAATTTTTGTTAGAAAACGTACAGTTGATGATACGTCATCTAAGAAAATAGCGAATTAAATCATTAACGATAATATTTTCTTGAATAATCTCCGTCCTGTTAATTAAATTTTAATGGTAAAAAAACTTTTAAATTTAATTTTTTCTTAGTATAAAATCAGAAATTTTTCTTTTATAAAATTTTTAGGAACTTGTTAAACTATAATTAATTATTTATTATTTACTAATAGTTAATTTTATTTTGTTGTATTGCCTTATAGTTTAATTTACTTAGTTAATTAACTGATTACAATGATAATTAACATACCAAATTATAATTAATAATGGTTATATTGTACTTTATTTAATAAAAATAAAAATTATGGGATATATTAACTTACTTGTTGGTTTAAATTCCAACTGTTGTTCAGCTGGCTGGCATTGAACCTGTCAAAAAAATTTATATAATTAATTTCAAAATTTAATTTAATACAATTTTAAGGTGTCATTGGAATGTAAAGACTTCAAAACGTTAATTTTAACTTTAAAAAATATTAAATTTATTTGAAAATTTTATTAAATTAATTTTTGTTTCGTGCTTAATCTTAAAGTCGATTTTGCAGGAAATCTTATATAATAGAAGAAACGTTATAAATCAATTTTTTTTTTAAATGTACAAAATCATCCATACATAAAATTAAAATGACATCAAATTACACTCGAAGATAAGGTAAATTGTGTTTTATAATAAAAATAAATATAAAATTTATTATTTTTTTCGTGCGTGAATCTTGAAAGAAATCCTTTATTGTGTGAGTGACTATGCAAAACAATTTCTCACTTAAACGTTTCTAAGAACATCGTTGTGTTTACCTTTCAAGTTGAATCCCATAATTTAAAGCAAATTATATATTACGTAGAAAAGTCTTCCTTAAGATAAAAAAAAAGAGAGAGAGAGAGAGAATAAATCTTTACATCTAAGATAATGCGATACTCTCAAATGTTCCTGACTCATCCTTGAAGAAGAAAGGACAAATCTCCTTTATTAAACGGCACTTAAAAGTGGTAATTACTCAAAAATATCTTCAAAAATTGTCTAAACCGGGAAATATTTACTTTAATTACTTTTGGATCATAAAATTCGATATCCGTGAATGTAACTTTAAACTCACTGGATGTAACCTTCGTCCATTTCATTGTTTATAAATGGCACGAACATTTAGAAACATGGTATTGTGAATCTTCCAGATTGTGCCAAATTGTTGTAAAAAAAAAAAAAACGTGAAATTTGAAGGTGAGTGATTAAGATTTTTTTACGCTATTAACGTATTGTTTGTGTTGTAATGATGATGATTTCGATGCTAAATTATCGACATGTTTTTAAAAGTATGAAAATCGAGATTTTACAAAGGTGGGTCTTTGCTTCGCTGAAGGACGCTCAAGGAAATAGTATCATGGGCAATCCTATAAAATTCTATTATTATTAACAATTTCTGATATTTAATTATTGAAATTCATTTAGAAAAGTATATTCAAAGAAAAATTTAACTTGTGTTCAAGGAATGTATTTCTTAGATACATATTCATGTATTGATTACTCTTCCATCTCTCCCAAAGAAATTTACTTTCGTGCGGTTTTACACCTAAATTTAAGATTTTATCTTAAAAAATTGCAAAGAAAAGTATTTTGGAAATATATATATAATTACAAACTACAGCACAATTTAGTTTTATTTACTGAAAATGTTAAAGAAAATGAGTGGTAAATGTTTGAGGCCCGAGTGTAGGATATGTATTTTATATAGGCTACTGTTATCTGTTNTATGAAAATGGCAAGAATGTTCCTTATTTAATAAGGGAATTTCCCGTTTTTCTATATAAAGTTGTAGAAAATAAGGAAGTTTGCTTAAAATAAAAAAAGTATGAGGAAAATAGTTTTAATTGTATTTTCGAGAAGATTAATTCTTATCTGGTATTCAATATAACCGATAAAATAATAATAATAATAATAAGTAAACTAATTTAAAACTTAACTGATAAAATATTTAGCTAATTCGCATACAGAAACGTAATTTTATAAGCAGAAAACTTTATAGAAAAGTTTTATAATCTAGAAAACGATCTTTAGTATTACCTGTATCGAAATATCATGCAGTAAATATATCAATTGGAGGTGTCCTACTTTGTAATCTCCCACATAACCAGGAAGTCAATTTTGTTTAAAGTAAAAATTGAATAATTCGTGAAAAATTTATTGATTTTATAAGTATTTCCAGCTGACGACTACTTTAATTGTGTAAACAACTAACTTGTTTTTTCTAATGTTAGAACTCATGTTCCATGCCACGGATCTTTAATATCGTTTCATCACTGAACCGGGAATTGACTTTCTTAAAATTTGCTTTCCAAATAACTTGTATGTCCTTTTTATACGTTGCTGTAGGAAGGATATACTATTGACTAGTTTAAGGATATACACACTGTATTACTTCTATAATATATTCTACTTATCTATTCTATACACGTATAGAAGTGTACCATTTATCTCTGCATACAAACTATATAGAATAGTCAATAGTAGTGTACAGTACAATAGTTCTTCCTACGTCTGTGACAGATAAGTTGTACGTCTTTGTTATATAAGTTTACAAGTAGAATATGGTATTAAAATATTTTTAAAATACTTAATTCTGTAAATTTCCATACAATTTTTGTGTGGAAATTTACATTTCCTATAGATACACATGTAGTATAACAAAAAAATATAAGACCCAAATACTCTCCACGCCAACACCCCAAGTTTAATTCTTTGTATCATTTAAAAGATCTGTAAATTTAGAAAGTAAATTTAACTTTTTTTACGGTAAAATAAAGAATTGTTTTTAAAACTGAAAAGATTGATTTTTATTTTAAAACCATGACGTTGTTGTCATTCCTGATTTTTATAAGTGGGTCATACAAGACAAGCCTGTCTTGTCCTTCTTGGCATCGCTTTTAACTTCCGTTGTTTGTTATAACCAACAATTTATGAATTGATCAAACGAATAACATTGAACCGATTTTTATCTACCTTAAAATAAAAGAATTATTTGTCCAATTAACTATAATTCACTGAGTACGGATTTAAATCTATATTTGAGTTGTATAGAAACTAATATTTTTTTTTTATAAGTATAGAGTATAATCTATCGAAGGACGACCAAGCTTATAAGAACTAATTAGACCGAGTCCGTTAAGAATACGTATCAAGGTTATATACGGTAGACACTATTCTTTAGTATAATAAGTCATTCATCATTTCAAATATTATATGAAATTGTGGTGGTACCAGTTTAAAACTTTCCTATATCTTTTATGCTTTTTAAATTATCCCCGGATCACGAAAATATTCTAGAAACTAATGAAACGAGATTGTATCGCCAACGACCTTTAACCTGAAACAAAAGTGTTCGCCGAGAAGCCAATGAGGTTCGAAGAGGTGGAAAAACTGTTTAAAACGAAAGGGAGTTTCTGTTGCAAGCAGTGAAAAAGGAAAAAAAAAATATCCAGGCCAAACGACATGTTTTACAAAATCCCACCCTGTACGTGCAGTCAGCTGTAATTCCATTATTTGGCCATACTCTTCCTGCCATTTGCGGGTTAAAGACCTCTGTTTTCGTTTTTCCTCACTTAGTGGCGCTATAGGAAGTGACCATTGTTCTCTCTAACGGGCAAGTGCTTCCACCATAAAAAAAAAAACCGAGAAGAATAAAAAGAAAGGGAAGAAAAAAGGCTTTTATTAGTCTCCCATTGCCAAGACCAAGACCGGTATTAGTTTCGTTCTAAAGGAATTTAACTCGGAATTTCACATGCATTTTTTAAAATATTTTAGAAGTAAATCTTTTTTTTTTTTCATTGTGTTATAGTAAACTTTTCTGCAATAAAAATAAAATACAGGTTTACTTTTCTACAATCAACCCACACGTTAACATATATGAACGAATACCGATTGATATCCCGATACATTAAACTGGATCATGATACTGTTGTAAATCCTGATATTGTCATGAAACCATTATGGTAGGTCAACATAACAGCTTTATAACAGTAAAATTGCGTGTTGTAAAACGTATTTATAGTCCTTTATATTAGTTTTATATATTCGATTAACGTGTAAATGATCGCGAAAGTAGCACAAATAATGTATTTATTCTAGAATTTTGAATGTATTTACGTATCTTAGAACGAGGGGGAAAAAAGACAAAAATAATATTTAAATCAATAAAAGCAATTAAAAAATGCATTTTTTTTGAGTAATTATTATATGAAAATGGCAAGAATGTTCCTTATTTAATAAGGGAATTTCCCGTTTTTCTATATAAAGTTGTAGAAAATAAGGAAGTTTGCTTAAAATAAAAAAAGTATGAGGAAAATAGTTTTAATTGTATTTTCGAGAAGATTAATTCTTATCTGGTATTCAATATAACCGATAAAATAATAATAATAATAATAAGTAAACTAATTTAAAACTTAACTGATAAAATATTTAGCTAATTCGCATACAGAAACGTAATTTTATAAGCAGAAAACTTTATAGAAAAGTTTTATAATCTAGAAAACGATCTTTAGTATTACCTGTATCGAAATATCATGCAGTAAATATATCAATTGGAGGTGTCCTACTTTGTAATCTCCCACATAACCAGGAAGTCAATTTTCGTAGGTTAACAATTAAATTCCAGGAAAAAAATTTAAGTGGATATTCTTTGATACACACACAATTTTTTTTCTTAGGTGAAAGTAAAAATATGATACTACTGATCTTGAATATCTGAGTAAATTAAATGATTTTTCGCTAAACCAATAATGTAGATCAGAAGATATAAGATGTTAATAATTTATGTTAATTGATCTAAAAATAACATTGATTCAAGCTGAAAATATTAAAATTATTCAAATTTTATGTTAAAAGTATACTAAACACATATTAATATATATTAACGTGTAATATTATAGTAAATAGTTCAATATAATGTGTAATGTAAGGTATTTAGGGTTGCCAAAAGTTAGTTAACCGTGTTTTATTCTTCATTGTTTCCGATATTTTTGCAAATATAAATTGTAAATCGGGTGTTTTTCTTCTACAAAGTTAGTGAAAAGTTGCTAAAAATTGATTGTTTGAATGAGATAGTAATTTAGTTTCTGCAATGATTAATTAATTAACTGACTTTTGGGCCACCTTATATGTGTCGCTTGTGCACATTAAGTTATATAATTATAATAATTTTGAATTAATTTAAGAAACAGGCAAATCTACAGCGTTTTATGTGATGCAAACTTATAAAACATTTAAAAAGTTTTTTCAAAATCTTTTTAATATTATTGTTAAAGTTATCACGATTTATTAAATCGGTCAAAGCAAGTCTTTAAGAGAATTTCATTATTCCTATTATCTAGATAGTTCACGC